CTATTTGGTAATTAAAAAATCAGTCTGTCTCCTTTAGAAAACTATAGATTTATATCTCAGAGTGCGAGTTGATTATTAGGTTAATAGAAACCTTCCTCCTTCTAAGACATAAGATTACAATTTAAATAAAAATATTACATATTCGTGTTAACTGTACAGGATTTTTATATATTAAAATATAGTTAAGATATTGTGTTAACACCGGCTGCTGATAATCTATGGCGATCAAAAATCTGACTGACATTTTGGCTATTTTTATCACCATTCAGAGTGGCATACCAGTCGGTAGCGTCATGAAAAAAATTGTTTTTTTTTAAATTTTCCTTTTGAATTTTAAAAATTTTATCATTAAAATAGATATAGATCATCATATCAGCCTTTAACTGCCCAATGATGAACACAAGCCTCCCCCTAGAGAAGTTTTGCCAGTAGTTGTTACGCTTGGCAGGCGGATTAGTAACCGCAGTTAGGCTTTGGTTATATTTAAAGAGAGACGCTGCTTCCCATCCCTCGACCTTGAAATTCCCTTAGTTGCTTCTTACGACACCTACAAAAAAAGAAAGGGTGGCCTATTCTATACCGGGACCACGGAAATACAGATAATATACTTATTAATTTTTCTTCGAAAATTGATTATGACGAATGAACCCATAAGTAAATAAAATAAGATTTTTATATTATGAAAATCTTTTAAAAAATAAATATAATGTCAAATACATTTAATAATTAGATGTTTAGATACTAATTTAATATGAACATTTGCAACTTAAACAAAAAAGTGCTGTCAAAAATATCTAGAAACGAGCATGACAGAGTCTTTTGCTTTTGGGATAAATAAAATTAAAAAAAAAAACTAAAACCAAATAAATCTGAGAGATTTATGATCTTTTATTATACCCGTGTTCATCGTGGTTGTATCAGCCGTTAGCTAGCTACTGCTGAACATAGGCCTCTCCGTATTTGGGGGTTTTGTTAGTAGTTGCCACGCTAGGAAGGCGGCTTGATTGATCATTTGAGGGGCGCTGCCCTCGATCATCAAGTTTCCTTAGTCGCCTCTTACGACACCCACGGGAAAGTCTATTCTATGCCGGGACCACAAGTATTTATATACAGGTTGAAATCGAGACAGTGTTCTAACAGTGAAAAATTAATATTTTATATCATTATAATATTTTAGACTAGCGGCCCGTCCCAGTGTCGCATGGGTGGACATTTTTACATTTCAAAAAGTGGCCATTAAGGTTGCACATACGACGGAAGCTTAAAATTGGAGTAACTTCTCCCGTTTTCCCAACATTTTCCTTCATTGCTGTGTTCTTATTGATCGTAGCGTGATGAAAAGTATACTATAACCTGCCCAGGAATATAAAGAATAATTGTACCAAGTTTCGTTAAAATCCGTCGAGTAGTTTTTGTTTCTATAACGAACATACAGACAGACAGACAAAAATTTTACAGATTGCATTTTTGGCATCAGTTTCGATCACTAATCACCCCCTGATAGTTATTTTGGAAATATATTTCATGTACAGAATTGATCTCTCTACAGATTTATTATAAGTATAGATAAAAAATGTAAACCTTCTATTATCGGTATACACCGACGAGGCACCAGTGAAAGGTGATAGGTGAGAATTAATGCAGGTCAGTTGGCCCACCGTGATTAATTCGACAAGAATTAAACATGATTGTTTTCAGGGGGAACCGCGAGGAGGTCGACCTGGTTGGGTATATTGCTAGCAATGGGATCATCAGTCTTCATTATTAACAATCCCTTTCCCCCCGATATTATCTGTATATACTCGTAAATATATAATGTACCTATGTAGCCGACTCGACAAACGTTGTTCTACGATATGAATATTTTTTTCTACTTAGGGATACCCTAATGACGTAGCAGTATGAAATATTTTATGACCTATTCTCATACCTACCAAATATACATAAAAAATCATAAAACAGAACGCAATAAAAAGGTAATCGAGTCACGTTGAAGTTACACAGAATCGCTCTCTAATTGAATTCAGTCGGTTAGTTGATAATGATTTAAATGATTTGTCTATTACATACATCGGCAAACTCATTTATGGTCGTGTCTTTTATTCTATTATTTAAATTTAATTCATTTCTATTGAAACAAATCATAGAAGTATAGTCCTTATACCAATACGAGATACAATATATCAATACGAGAACTCAGTTCGTTAAACAGTGGCTGGTTAGGACTGAAGAATGGGATATGACAGTAACATTATCATGTACATGTTAGCGTCATAACTGTTACGGTCTTATTAACATACTGGTCCTCAGAAATGAGAATACACGAGAGTTACCATGGACGTCGCAGTGTATTCTGATATATTAATTGTATTGTTAGGTATATTATTTACTATCATTCATAATGTTTACAACTCACCCCACTTCGATCGAATATAGAAAATTAAATACAGCCCATGTTACTAGCAGATAATATAGCTTTCTATGGGTGAACGAATTTTCAAAATCAGTTTATTTGTGTTTTTTATAGTTGATCCATTCCAAACTAAAAATCGTATGTTTTCTCTTTATAATAATTAGTTTGATATGGAAGGAAGGATAAGGATATTTACTGTTTCATAGTCTTTGAATATACTGAATTTCGAAAAACAAAATTTATTATTTACTAGCCGTTTCACAGGGCCTTGTCCGCTTCTAAGTAAGTAGTTCCCGTATATCATTCCCATTGGATTTTTTCATGAATCCGGTCTTATATTGTATTTTATACTTAAATGATAATTATGTACCTAATATCTTCATAAAGTTTCAGCCAATTCTATTGTATAAAATTTTATACCATTTTATATGTGATTCTTTAAATTGATATAACTTTTTTATTTATGAATCGATAAATATAAAACAAACACTAAATGTTAAGTGAAACAAAGGGCAACACTTTAGTAAAAATCACATTCAAATTGGTTAAGCCGTTCCTGAGATTAGCGTGTAGACAGACAAAATTATAAAAATCATTGTTTTGGGTTCTATTGCGTTTATAAAGTCACCCTAGTTTTTCTTATATATTTTCCATGTGCGTTCCATGACAACTCTGTGACGGTCGTTGGTAATTAAATTTCTATTCCTATTTACAATTATATATATAAAAAATGTGCGGGACTAATAGTTAAGTTTCCGTTAGTGGTCGCACTGAAAAGAGCGAAATATTGTTGTCTTGTTTAATTTTAATTTGCTATAGCAATAATATAGAGCATGCACGAGATGAGCCTCCTAAGTAATCTATTGGTTTACCTAACAGGGTTTAAAAGAATCGCCTTTTTCAATGGATAATAATGAAATAGTAATTGTGCCTGTGCTAATGGTAGACGCTGACGGGGTACCCGTTAGGGATGATAGATGACAGTGAAAAATTCAGATCAGTCACATGGGCAACATCGTGGAATTCAGCACGATGGTTTCCAAGTGGGTGGGATGGGGGCACGTGGAGGTCGACCTGACAGGGTAAATTGCTAAAAATGGGACTGATAGTTTGCATTACTTACAATCCCTCCCCCTTCCCCCGCGCTCCCAATAAACTTTATTCAAATAAAGTATCTATTATATTTAATATATAACTTTTATATAAAATCAACATTCTATATGTAGCACTAAAATTTTGCTGAGCTAATATTAAAGTATTTAATGAAGGTTGAGCGCCATTGTCTGAGATACAGGTATTATAACCCAGTTCAGACACAGATGTTTAAGCTGATCCAAATGTCCAAATGAATTCGTACCTACTTTTATTGTAATTTCCAGTGCTGAATTTGTTACAATCACGGTTATGCAATAAAGTTATTATTATTATTATACACTTAAGATAAATATCTATCTAGTGATTACCCTCAAATTGCCTGTCCTCATCGACAAAAGAGGAAAGAATTATCAGTAACGGGGATCAGCAAATTAATATAGACCTGGTAGTATCCGACCTGGAAGTTGGACTGATAGGGTATAATACTAGCAGTGATAGGTCACATGGACGTGATCCTCTCTGGAAATTATTGTAAAAATTTCACCACGGATCATTAGATCATTTTTCATCCTTGCCTATCATCCTTCATTGGTGCCATCCTATACCGATAGTGCATGGAGGGTCACTGTTTTTTACCATTGTTCAATATTTTTAACGACTAGTTCATTACATTATAGCATATTATGCCAAATGAGAAAAACCATAAATGTATGTTACTAGCTATCTGTAATACTGTAACTACATTATATAAAACTGATATATATTCTTCTATTTAGAGGATATATTCATTGCTAGAGTACATCATCATCACCTCAGCCATTATTCATCAAACTGCTGATCATAGGCTTCCTCCATAGATTGCCGTAAAGGTTGGTCTTGGGTCACCTGCATCCACTGATTCTCTGCATTGTAAGGAAAGTCATTATATACTCGTATATATATTTTAAAATAGCTAATATTAGCTATTTTAAAATACATTTTATTAATATTATTATTTTATTACTATTTTAAACATAGTATTTTTAAATATAGATTTAAACCCAGTATACACTTAATATAAAAAATAAAAAAAACGTTCACGCTCATTTTTTACTTTATCCGAGCAGTAAGTGCTTTATATTAGTCTCAATTTCATGTATAATGTAATATATGTCATATATTTGTTATTTATATATATTTATTCGTTTATATATGTAATTTTAGTATGTATATGTATATCAATAAATAGTAATACCGCATTCGAGTATTCTGACACTTCCCTATGGTTGACTGGGGGAGAATGCTTTTAGCATTAAGTCCACCATATACACATATTTGTACTAAAATAAATAAATAAAAAAAAAAGTTTATACTTCAAGATTAAGAGGGTACTTTGACAAGTTTATTGAGAAATCAGAAAATATTCTATAAATATTTATAGTGCTGTGAACTAAAAATATTTTCATATACATTTTTCTTCAAAATCAAATAAATATATTTTTATTTATTACAGAAACCCGAATAACAACTTCTCAAAAGAAATTTCAAGATAAGACTGAAGTCGACGCATATATTTCGGAAGAAAATAATATAACTTCCAGTAGAACATCATACCAAACTACTGAAGACATAAATATTTTGAAAATACAAAATCTTCAAGACGTAGAATCAAGGAAAACAACTACAGTACCATGGCGTAGAAAAAGTCAAACAGACACAATAGACGTAACTAAAGAAGAAAAATTAGAGGTTAAGCATTGGAGAAAACCTCGTCAAGATCAAAAAACTGTTCAAAAAACTGTCACTTCTGAGGATTCTAATATTTTATCTGTACAGAACCAAGAAACTCTTGAATCATCTCGAATCGATAAAAATATAGAACAAATTAAACAGCAAGAAGTTTCTGAAGTTAAACATTGGAGGAAACCAAAACTAGTACAAAAGGAAGTTACTGAAGATAGTAGTAGTATCAAATCACAAATTAATGAAGTTTCAGATGAAAAAACTACTAGAGAGATACATGAAACTAAATCTTGGAGAAAGCCACGCAGCGAAAAGCCATTATTCTTGGACAAAAAATTAGTAACTGAAGATTCCGAAATACTTGATATAATAAAATCTGAGTCGACTACTGAGCAGGAGAATATTGAAGCCAAACACTGGAGGAAACCTAAAATAGATCATAAACCTACATCACAGGAAAGACAGTTGATAACGGAAGATAAATCAATATTAGATATACAAAAGTCTGAAGTAATAGATGAAAGTATTAAGAATGAAAAAGTAGAAACTAAACACTGGCGGAAGCCTAGACAACCAGAAAAGTCAGAATCTGTGGATTTTACTGAAGAAAAGGAAGAAGTATTCGATGAACAAGTACGAGACATTCAACATTGGAGAAAACCGCGTTCTGAAGAAAGAAAACCTATTTTGGAAGAAAGGAAAGAACCTACTCCTTGGAATCAGGAAATTATTAAATTAAGGCCAACGAAATTAGAAAAAATTCCAATTGCTAAAGAAAAACTAGAAGATGTTACCTTGAAACAAGTAAGAAAAAGTTCCATTCAAAAGTTGGAAACTATAGTTATTGAAGAATCGTTAACACGTGAAGAAGATACGGTAATTTTAAAAATTACTGACGATGTTGAGACCACTTATGAACCAGAAAAATCAGAAGAAGAAAGGTTGACAGTAATGCAACAGAAATCTGCACAAGACAGTTACCAGGAAGAAATTAAACTAACTGGTAAACGACTACTAAAAGAAGAAGAGCATAAAGAAGAGATTATGTTGAAACGCGTTCCGAAACCGAAAGTTCCAGAAGAAGTAAAACTAGAAGAAGTACATTTGAAGCCCGTGAAAAAGCAAAAACCTGTTGATAACACTAAACTTGAAGAGATGAGCTGGCAAACTGGTAAAAGACGACCTGTAGAAGAAGAACCATTAGAAGAAGTAGTACTTAAACCCATTCCTAAGCAAAAAGTTCCAGAAAAAGAGGAAAAGCCAGAAGAAATCGTATTGAAACCTATGAAAAACCAAAAACCTGATGAAGAGACTCAACCTGAAGGAGTCAAATGGCCAACAGGGAAGAGGCGGCCAAAAGAAGAGGAACCGAAAGAAGAAGTTGTTCTCAAACCTATTCCGAAACCGAAAGTACCTGAGGAGAAAAAACCAGAAGAAGTGCAGCTCAAATCGGTGAGAAAAGAAAAATCCGTGGAAGAAATTCAGCCTGAGGAAGTAAGTTGGCGAGCTGGAAAAATACGAGCCAAAGAAGAGGAGCCCAAAGAAGAAGTTATTCTTAAACCTATTCCGAAACCGAAAGCGCCTGAGGAAGAAAAGCCAGCAGAAGTCCAGTTAAAGCCTGTGAGGAAACAAAAACCTGTGGAAGAAACTCAACCTGAAGAAGTTAAATGGCCAACAGGTAAAAGACGACCAAAAGAAGAGGAGCCCAAAGAAGAAGTTATTCTTAAACCCATTCCAAAAACGAAAGCGCCTGAGGAAGAAAAACCAGCAGAAGTCCAGTTAAAGCCTGTGAAGAAACAAAAACCTATTGAAGAGACTCAACCTGAAGAAGTTAAATGGCCAACAGGAAAGAGGCGGCCAAAAGAAGAGGAACCAAAAGAAGAAGTTGTTCTCAAACCTATTCCGAAACCGAAAGCACCTGAGGAAGAAAAACCAGCAGAAGTCCAGTTAAAGCCTGTGAAGAAACAAAAATCTGTGGAAGAGACTCAACCTGAAGAAGTCAAATGGCCAACAGGGAAGAGGCGACCAAAAGAAGAGGAACCAAAGGAAGAAGTTGTTCTTAAACCCATTCCGAAACCGAAAGCACCTGAGGAAGAAAAACCAGCAGAAGTCCAGTTAAAGCCTGTGAAGAAACAAAAACCTATTGAAGAGACTCAACCTGAAGAAGTCAAATGGCCAACAGGGAAGAGGCGACCGAAAGAAGAGGAACCGAAAGAAGAAGTTGTTCTTAAACCCATTCCAAAACCGAAAGCGCCTGAGGAAGAAAAACCAGCAGAAGTCCAGTTAAAGCCTGTGAAGAAACAAAAACCTATTGAAGAGACTCAACCTGAAGAAGTTAAATGGCCAACAGGAAAGAGGCGGCCAAAAGAAGAGGAACCGAAAGAAGAAGTTGTTCTCAAACCTATTCCGAAACCGAAAGCGCCTGAGGAAGAAAAACCAGCAGAAGTCCAGTTAAAGCCTGTGAAGAAACAAAAACCTATTGAAGAGACTCAACCTGAAGAAGTAAAATGGCCAACAGGGAAGAGGCGGCCAAAAGAAGAGGAACCGAAAGAAGAAGTTGTTCTTAAACCCATTCCGAAACCAAAAGCACCTGAGGAAGAAAAACCAGCAGAAGTCCAGTTAAAGCCTGTGAAGAAACAAAAATCTGTGGAAGAGACTCAACCTGAAGAAGTCAAATGGCCAACAGGGAAGAGGCGGCCAAAAGAAGAGGAACCGAAAGAAGAAGTTGTTCTTAAACCCATTCCGAAACTAAAAGCGCCTGAGGAAGAAAAGCCAACAGAAGTCCAGTTAAAGCCTGTGAAGAAACAAAAAGCTGTGGAAGAGACTCAACCTGAAGAAGTCAAATGGCCAACAGGGAAGAGGCGACCAAAAGAAGAGGAACCAAAGGAAGAAGTTGTTCTTAAACCCATTCCGAAACCGAAAGCACCTGAGGAAGAAAAACCAGCAGAAGTCCAGTTAAAGCCTGTGAAGAAACAAAAACCTATTGAAGAGACTCAACCTGAAGAAGTCAAATGGCCAACAGGAAAGAGGCGACCTAAAGAAGAGGAACCGAAAGAAGAAGTTGTTCTCAAGCCTATTCCGAAACCGAAAGCGCCTGAGGAAGAAAAACCAGCAGAAGTCCAGTTAAAGCCTGTGAAGAAACAAAAACCTATTGAAGAGACTCAACCTGAAGAAGTCAAATGGCCAACAGGAAAGAGGCGACCGAAAGAAGAGGAACCGAAAGAAGAAGTTGTTCTTAAACCCATTCCAAAACCGAAAGCGCCTGAGGAAGAAAAACCAGCAGAAGTCCAGTTAAAGCCTGTGAAGAAACAAAAACCTATTGAAGAGACTCAACCTGAAGAAGTCAAATGGCCAACAGGGAAGAGGCGACCTAAAGAAGAGGAACCGAAAGAAGAAGTTGTCCTTAAGCCCATTCCGAAACCGAAAGCACCTGAAGAAGAAAAACCAGCAGAAGTCCAGTTAAAGCCTGTGAAGAAACAAAAACCTATTGAAGAGACTCAACCTGAAGAAGTCAAATGGCCAACAGGGAAGAGGCGACCAAAAGAAGAGGAACCAAAGGAAGAAGTTGTTCTTAAACCCATTCCGAAACCGAAAGCACCTGAGGAAGAAAAACCAGCAGAAGTCCAGTTAAAGCCTGTGAAGAAACAAAAACCTATTGAAGAGACTCAACCTGAAGAAGTCAAATGGCCAACAGGGAAGAGGCGACCGAAAGAAGAGGAACCGAAAGAAGAAGTTGTTCTCAAACCTATTCCGAAACCGAAAGCGCCTGAGGAAGAAAAACCAGCAGAAGTCCAGTTAAAGCCTGTGAAGAAACAAAAATCTGTGGAAGAGACTCAACCTGAAGAAGTCAAATGGCCAACAGGGAAGAGGCGACCAAAAGAAGAGGAACCAAAGGAAGAAGTTGTTCTTAAACCTATTCCGAAACCGAAAGCGCCTGAGGAAGAAAAGCCAGCAGAAGTCCAGTTAAAGCCTGTGAAGAAACAAAAAGCTGTGGAAGAGACTCAACCTGAAGAAGTCAAATGGCCAACAGGGAAGAGGCGACCAAAAGAAGAGGAACCAAAGGAAGAAGTTGTTCTTAAACCTATTCCGAAACCGAAAGCACCTGAGGAAGAAAAACCAGCAGAAGTCCAGTTAAAGCCTGTGAAGAAACAAAAACCTATTGAAGACACTCAACCTGAAGAAGTCAAATGGCCAACAGGGAAGAGGCGACCTAAAGAAGAGGAACCGAAAGAAGAAGTTGTTCTCAAACCTATTCCGAAACCAAAAGCGCCTGAAGAAGAAAAACCAGGAGAAATTCAGTTAAAGCCTGTGAAGAAACAAAAATCTGTGGAAGAAACTCAACCTGAAGAAGTCAAATGGCCAACAGGTAAAAGGCGACCAAAAGAAGAGGAACCGAAAGAAGAAGTTGTTCTTAAACCTATTCCTAAGCCCAAAATACCTGAAGAGAAAAAACCAGAAGAAGTTGCTCTTAAACCTGTTGTTAAATCCAAGGAATTAGAAGAAGAGAAATCGCAAGAAGTTATCTTAGAAACTGTTAAGGTTAAAGAAGACAAAGTAGATAAAATTAAGAAAAAGACTAAAAAACAAAAGTCTTTGGAGGAAGAAGTGATTGACGAAATTTCTATTGATCAGCAAGTAACAAAAGAACCCAAAGTCGAAGAAAATGAAGAAATAACAACTATAGTGACCAAACACAAGAAACAAGTTAAGAAAACAGTGAAGAAAGAACACCAAAAAGGTATGAATGATTTTATTTAGATTATTATTTAGCAACGAAAGTACATTCTATCTGAATAAGTGTCCTATACAAAATGCAAACAGATGCATGGCTAAATGAAGGACGCGACATTACTTAGAAACGACAAAAATACACCCACGTGTTTATTGACTTATGAACTAATAAAAAATGGCCTGTCATTAACAATTAAATTTTTTTCATATGTAATATATATTATTTGTGCTAATTTTAGTTTATCACTCATACTTTCTTTTTTTTATCTGTAAACTGTTTTCAAAGCATGTAAATTAATATAAAACAGCAATTGAGTGCAAATATGACCATCGCACTATTGATGCTTGATAATAATTAATATATGAAATAACGTATTTAATAGGTAGAAAGTAATAAAAAGTATGTCGTAATAAATTACACATATCGACGGTTGAAAGGCAACCTTAACTAAGCGACATTTAATAAACTTTACAGGAGAGCGGTTTAAAGTTGAAATTTTTGAAAAAAAAATCATAACTATTTACCTGACATATCGAAATAATTTTAACAGTTACGGAAAACATATATTTTTTGTTATTTTTTGATATCAAAGAAAGTTATCCCAGACTAAAATTTGAAGTATTTTATGTCGGTCAGATAAAAAATACCTAGATTTGGTTACAGGTAAAATTATATAAATTTACCTAAAAAGTTAACAGAAACGAGTAAAAATATCGTTATCCTGATTCATCTAAATCTCCTTATAAGTACAATTATATAAAGACGTATATTAGATTGAACAAAATCAAGTAAAATTGTCTAGGTAAGTTCTTGTATGATTGTTGTGTTAGCAGAATATGTATCTTTAGTTAATAAATTTTCCTAAAATTATCCCAAACTGACTTTAAACTAATTATTATTAATTATTTATAATGTAATAATGATAATAAATTATACTATAAAATTAACAAAAATATTCATAATATAAGAAGACTAATTTTGCTTTCACATAATTTATCTAAAACCTGTCTTTAATTTTCGTCTATTAAAAATAATAAATGATTGTTAGAGTTATAATAGGTTATCTGGTTTTTTATTATAATTAGTTTAATAAACTATTTTAATTAATTATTATTAAAATTACAATCTTTAATATCTGATTAGTTTAGAGTGTCTTTGATATTTATTGCACGTGGAAAGCTAACAAAGCAATTAGGAATAACATCGTCTGTGAAAAGTTTGACTAGATCATCATATTTGGCTTTTGATATTGGAAGCTGCGATCGATAACAAGATAAAAGAGATATCTTGGTTTTAAATTGAATTTCAGTATCAAAAGAAGCGTTAGTGTTCACGAATATTTTATATTTAACGTTTTGCTTATCCTTCTCAGTCATAATATAAATCTTACTTATCTTTCCAGTTAGATTATTAATATGCAAAAATTGAAAACCATTGAGATAGTGCGTAAACAATTGTATTCTTTAATCTATTCTATCTTTAATCTATCTATGGGTATATAAGTATGACCAGTCAAGAGAAAATTTATTTTAATAGTATTAATATTTTCATACTCCTGTAGTGATGAATGAAACATTGCTAATACAGTACGATTACGATTTTGACCGGGACAACAGTCACAATATAAAAGTAATTGCTTGATATTTCCTCTGGTATCTACAGATTTAATATATTTGTTCAGTATTGATACAATCTTATTTGATCCTCGTTTGCCATTAGTTTCATCCCAATAGTAACAGAAAACATTACGAGTTCCATTTTCATAAAAGCAAATATTGTATACTGCCAGTTTTCTACTATAATACAAGGGCTGGTAATTTTTGGATAAATCTCTTAACAGCATCTATAGTAGTTTTTTTTTTAGTTCTATTTGATAGACATATAATTTATTTGTGTTACTTACAAGCACATAAATTATAAAAAGCGAGAGAAGAGAAATTATTAAAAAAATACATAAAGCCAAGTACAATTTTTCCTTTTGTGCGTGTGCCGTAACAATACAAAATGGTCACAACTCAGTTTATTGCTTTGCCCTCAAAAGAGCAAAACACTGATATTCTGTTGTGGCAAAAGGGGTTTCACATATTTCTGGGTTCAGATACCCCTCTCATATTTTCTTTCGTGCATCCAAAAGTAGAATCTTTTACAATATTGTAAATTGTTTTATCAGAAATGTTCAGAGTAGCTACTAAAAATTGTTGACAAACATACTCTTTACCTTCGCCTTTGTTAATAAAATATTTAATAGTGTAGTTGCGCTTATCAGTGTCTGTACATTTACGTTTGATGAATCCTTTTTTGACATAGATACTAAACAATCACGGCGACGTGTTTGGTCAAGATCACAAAAATCATTGAAAAATTTCCTCTTTTTACTTCACATAGAGAACCACAGTTATTACTAGAGTTTTTGCCAGAGCAAGGATTAGGCGCTGTTTTAACTATACCAGTCTTTGTAATATATTCTTTACCAGATTTTATATTTTTAGTTCGTTCTTTTCTTAGGTTTAATTTTTTAGCTTTGGACGCAGATTCTCCGATAATTTCTAGTTCTTGGTTATCAGGACTATCATCGTTAGTTTTAGTGTTATTTTTTTAGTACATTTTACTTCCTATTATTTTTCTTCTATTTCATTGTATATTATTATCATCTTCAGAGGTTACTTCTTCTCCTTCTGACCAATTATCTGAATCATTTATGCCATAAAATATGGAAAAGTCTTCTTGATCTGACATATAATCAATATAACTAACATCTTTCTTAGGTATTCTTTTATATTTAATTGGATTTAATTCATTGGATTCTTTACTCAAACCGGTGGATGTAGATGGTGCATCATGGTCTGATGTTAAAGAACGTGAGTTTTTCTCATTTTCGTAATTATATATATTTGATGCAGAGTTATCAGATTTATTTAACGTTATGATATTATAATCATGATCAATCGATACAATAGTAGTGCCAGAAAATGCCACCTGTTTAGTTGATGCCGTGTTATCTATTATCGTGCTTGCAATGTCAATGGTAATAAACACATACACATTTTCTATTTGCCAAATATAATATTTGTATTTCGCGTACTGGTAAATTTATCTAAGCGCCATTTTTACTCATTTCAACGAGTCAAATATATGCAGTAAAAATATATACCGCTAAAAGCAAACATATTTTTATACAGGTAAAAATATCTAAGATATAATTTACTTTAATTTTATTTTTAGTTAAATTACATAAATTGCAATATCACAAAATATTACATCAGGTAAAATTACATAACCAAATTATTTATATTTTTTTAAATAGGTACAATATACTAAAACAGATAAAAACGAAATTTCATAACAAGTAAAAATTCCTACTTGCAAATAAAAGTGAAAGCAAAGATATGAAAAATTGAATAAATCCATATTTCAACTTTTAAAATGGCGTAAGTAGCAAATATTCTTTAAATGACATTTTTTTTGTCGCTAAGTAAACATAAAATTGTAAATTTAGCTAAAATCACGCAGTACTTAACCGACAAAAAAATTATCGTAGAATTTTAAAACCTAGACCAATCGACGCAGAAAAATCAGGCGATTCGAATGGTATATAAAACTCAGTTTAGGTATTTTTGTCGCTTAGTCAATTTTGCCTTTCAACCGTCGATATACTTATTCTGGTAACTATTAGAAATTAATACAATAAAATATATTAGTAAATTGGCACAGGATTGATCCAGTAAATATAGGTATTTACTATAAAGTAAATGCGAAAAAAAAGTATTAAAATATATTTGATCTTAACATGTCAATGTTTTATAATTTGCTTTGATTATTGTTTTCAAAATTTGAAAATGACATAATGCTGTATAACGTATGATCAATATTCTTTTTATATACATAAATATTTAACATACATGAAACTTACTGTTTGTGTTTTAATTTTGTACTTTGGTTGATATTTATATTTTTGTTATTAATAGATGTTTACTATTTAACTATCAGTGTATTTTATTTTTTAATTAATATTGTCTTTATGTATGAAATTGTATATATCGCAATTACTATACTTAACATTTTTTTCTTGTTAACCTTTTTTATGTAGACGAAATAAGGTTTCTTAAAAAAAATAGGAAGAAGAATAAGACACACATTACTTTAACCAATAAATATTTTACAGAAGTTGGACCTATCATTATTGAACCAATAATGGCAAAAACAGTAACAGAAAACAGTGAATTTGAAATTGTCGTCACATTTGATGCAGCAGGTGATAATAAAATTAAATGGTATCGTAATAATCAACTACTTGAGACAAGTGATGATTGTCGTATAGTAACTGAAAATGGAATATCTCGTTTAAAAATAAATAATGCAGATAAGAAAAAAGTGGGAAAATATGAGGTGGTCGTTGAAAGAAATAATATGATTGCTAAATCTGCAAGTACTGTTAAATTGCAAAAACTTACAGATGATAGCCAAATAACGCCACCTGTATTTATAAGACCGCTTCGTCCTAAAGAAGTTTATTTAGGGGATATAGTATTGTTGGAAACAGAGGTAATTTCTAGTCCAAGCGCCTCGTTTCAATGGTTTATAGATACAAAAGAAGTGGCATCGTATGCTAAAGAAAATAAATTAAATAATATTTATGTTACAACAAAAGATAATATATCTTGTCTTTGTATTGAAGATATTAGTGAGGAATTAATTGGAATTATTACTTGTCGAGCGGAAAATTTTGCTGGATCTGTTTCAAGTTCGGCTTCACTTTTACTATCAAAACATGAAAAAGAACTGTATGGGGAAGCACCAACCGTCATTAAATCTTTATCCCCAATTACGGTAATGGATGGAGAGCCTATAATGTTAACATGTGAAGTAATAGGACAACCTTGGCCAAAAATTTATTGGTACCAGAATGGACAATTAATCCAGAAAGCAAGAGACATTACAATAGCAAGACAAGCATCAGGATTATGCGAACTGTATATAAAAGAGGCCTTTCCGGAAATGTCAGGGAAATATACTTGCATAGCCACGAACGAATTTGGCAGTTGTAACAGCGAATGTATAGTAAATGTTGAAGGTAGCAAGTAGTTCCAGTTTCATGATTGCATGTATTGCATGTGCCTACAAAAAACATACGAAGTTTATGTTTAATTTTGCACTTGTTTTACCAAAATAAATTCTAACTTTTATTATACTTACTTCATATAGTTGCCATGCATCTGTAGAGACATTTATATTTTGAAATTAATAAGGACCATTTTAGATTTCGATTATAATATTAAAGTTTTGAAGTTGTTATAATACTCGAATTTACGTTCCATAAGACAACTGGATAAGAGAAAAGTATTTATTTTTTTTGTGAAACTTTCTGCTGCAAAAAAAAAAAAGAACTTCACATCAGTCTTATTATTCATTCATTGCTTCCTTTTAAATACACTATTTGAAAATGTTTTGAAGCACTTTTGTCTGAACTTACAGTATCAATAAATACGTTGACTGATTATGTTATGGTATCAAATAAATAAATTTCAACTTAGAAACAATGCTTGCATTAGAGCTTTTTTAATGTTAACTGCGTTTATTTGTAGCACTAAAAGTGTATAATTCCTTACAAATTTACTTTAAATAATCCACTCATTTCTCTAACATATTTTAATAATAATAACTGTAATAAAGGTAAAATGACAAGGAATTATGCATTTTATTTTAAAAAAGACACTAGTATTTTATGAAGTATTTTATATAAAAAAACTGAATTACATAAATATTCTTATGTGTTTCTAGCATATGAATACGTACCGAGTGCTTCAGAAGAAGATATATTAAGCGATGAGGTAAGTTAATATTTGGAAAGTTATTCCACTGATAATTTTTTTAAATTGTCTACTACTTAATTATTTTTTTTAATTTCAAGAATATAGACATGGAAATATTTCATTCATTTTTAAATTTTGAAAAGTAATAAAACAATCTCCGGTATATATACGAAACATCTTTAGATTTCTAAAAGAATATTTTAAAAATGCTCTCATACCAAAGTAAAATGTTAATCATATACTAAATTGTACATCGTGGATGTTACTATTTATTATTTTCCATTTAAAGTATAAAATATCAATGTTAACAAAGTCGTTTTAAGACTTATAATACATACGATAAAAAATTTATTTACACATATAGCAGCGTTTTAATTCCTATTGAATTAAATTTATTAAAAAATATTTTTTTAAAGAAATTAAATCATATGGCGATAAACTAAATAAGACAAGCATTCTTTTAAATTATATTATAAAAATATAATTTAAATCATTAAATTTTGCAGAGAACAAGTGACATAGAAGAATTTGCGCCAAGAATTGTAAAAGCACTGCCAACTGTAGTAACTACTAACGAAGGCGAACTGACAAGGTGAGTTAAAATCGGACATAATACACTCTTTATTACTAAAAAAAATTATTATTAGTAAATGTACACAATTTTTCTACACAGATAATTACATTCCGTCAAAGTACAAAATGATAATTCGTATTATTCTTCAAAGACTAATTACATACTATTCAATTTTAGATTGGAAGCCAAAGCTATAGGCGTTCCGAAACCTCAAATCCGATGGTTAAAACAAGGAGTAGAGATTGTACAGTCTCAAGAATACCAGATAGAGGAAATGGAGGACGGTACATCAATTTTGATTATACCTGAAGTTTACCAAGACGACACAGGAGAAATAATATTTGAAGCTTTCAATCCACTAGGTGTTACAGCTACAATTGCAGCCTTGTCTGTAGAAAGTGAGTTTTATGCTTTAATGGTAAATAAGTCTCATTTCGTTTTAAATCTTGCAAATTATTAGTCCATAGAATTTTCTTTTAAGTTTGTTCAACTAAGTGCTTTTTTAGTAAATTTAAAAATGAGTTTTGATTATCTTTCATATATGTAATATGAATTTATTAATGCTCTTTCTGTTGTTTAAAAGCTTTTTAAGCCTTTTAATGCGTAATATAGTAGGCTTACGTTTTAACTACTTTTTATGTGTTTTATTTGCTATGATTTCAGTTATCTGCATCCTGCAGCTGGTTCTTTCGACGTACTATATTATTATTTTGTAGCATTAAAACCCCTAATCCTTTCCTGAACAATGATAATAACTTTAAGAAAATATCCCATTATAATTTCACACAACATGTGTTATCATTACAACCATTTATGTACCTACATGACATACATGTTTTTAGTACTATATATTATAGTTTGACACACAACAATACTTTATGTATGTTATAGGTTACAAAAAATATATTGTAATTTAAAAAATATATATATATATATAAAGTTATAAATATTACAATGTGTGTTATATGTAATAGTAATTGATTCTTTTTTGTTAAATTTTGTACCTTTATCATCATCTTGAATATTATTTACATGATTATGTACAGTTGAGGTAATTATTTAAAATGTTTGAAGGTATCATTGGTACAAAGGAATACCGAAAACCAGAATGGGTCACTCACATGGAAGAATTACAGGCTGCTTTAAAAGGTAATATAATAAATACATATACCTATTGAATAACAAATTTTGACCGTTCAAACGGACAGGATTTGGACCCATGTTTTGTAATTGGCTGGACCAAATACATTTTCAGTTACAACACGAAAGAAATATTATCTATTTCAATAAGTTTTTATGACTTTGATATTTTCACCCGCCTAAAAAGGGGTTTGTTTTTATATATTGGTTCCCAATGTATTTATTTTCACTACCGAAGAGTGAAATAAATACCTAGTCTCGTATCTTGCCTTATGCATATACATCGCTTCTGAAGACTCTAGAATAGAGATGAGGCACACATATCGGTACAGTAAAAGGACAACTTTAAACAATAACAAATTGGAACAACTTGTTCCATTGATACCGTAACGATTGTTCCAGTTCCACAATCTGTCACCTCGGCCTAATCGTGGAACGGTTTTTATACTAGAATTGGAATATGTGCCACAGGTTCCTTATTTTTACCTGTTTCAAACCACGTCTACTTTTGACTTTAGTCTTTACTTTAGTCAAAAAGTGTATCAGATCATTATAAGTTACTTTTTATCGCTCCTGGTACCGTCATATTTCCATTTTCTTATTATATATGTTTATATGGTATGATCTAATATAATCATAAAACTTTTATTTGTGAGTCTCAATATGCTTATAGTTTGGTTATTATTTCTTCTCAGCGACACAATCCGTTCCTACATTTGTAAAGGATATAATGGGTGAACGTGTTCACGAAGAAGAGACCGTTGTATTTGAAGCTGTTTATAGCGGCAATCCAACTCCAGGTAGCTATTGACTACGTATTTTATATTTATGCTCTTAGTTACTATTAACCAAATTGAAACAGATAGAAAGAAATAAAAATAATTTATTTAGTGACATACATGGATATTACAACAGCTAACAATAAAAACAAATTCTAGTCACTAAAAAGTAAATTAGGAAATAATATTTAGTAGGAAATAATTTTACTTTGAATTTAATACTAACTAAAATTAAATGTGAGTAGTTTTGAAATAAATATAAATGCAAAACGTATGGCATATCATCATGAATTACTTGACAATTATGTATTTTGTAGATTTGGTAATATAATTTGAAAATAGAAAAAAATAGAGGCATATTTAATTCCATTCATCGAATAAATAAAGCGAGTTTGATTGTTACCTTATAGCGCCTTAACGGCTCAACAAATCAGTATAAAATTTGCTATACATGTACTATATGGGATGAAAAAGGAAAGAAACTACTTCATATCCCGGCAGTAGCCATATCCTGATCACACGGCTGAAGTCGCGAGTAAAAGCTACTAGAATATATAAATATCTACTATGAAAAGATAACTAAATATGTTTTTGAAATATATAATACTGCATATACGAGTGATATAGTTTTTGATAAGTGAAAGTCGCTTGTTTTAATGGTTATTCCAGTTAAGCCTTAATGAATTCATTCTAACTTTATATCGTCTTAAGCTGGATATTGAATTAGTTATTTATAAAGTACATAAAAAGTTTATTTTCTATAATGAAGTTCATGTTGTCAAGTGCATTTGTATATTTTTTACAGAAATATTGTGGTATAAAGATGATAAAGTTATTAGAACTGATGAGCGTTACGTGATTGAAAACAAAGATAATCGAACAACATGTACTGTAAGAAAAGCCTCCAAACAGTTAGAAGGAACTTATACATGTAAAGCTGTTAGTGAAATCGGCATGGCATTAACTAAGGCTAAATTGCAAGTATTTGACGAAGGAGAAAAAATAAAGAAAGTAAAAGAAGTGAAAGAAAAAGTAAAATCTGAAAAAGTAAAGAAAACTGAAAAAGAGATAGTTAAAAAAGAAAAAGCAAAGCAAGTAACTGAAGATGTATATGAATCAGCAACAGTAATAGAAGAAGTACAACCAATCGTTGAACCAGTACCAATAAAAGAAATCGATAAAGAAAAAGCAGAAGTTATAGTAAGTGAAGCAGAACATGTTGAAACTACTGACGTTGCATCTTACAAGAAGGTAGACAAAAAGGAAAAAGCAAAACCTAAACCAGAAAAAGGAGAACCAGTTATAACTCCACACGACTATTTAGTATCTTCACAACAACAGAAAGAAGAAACTGCTGAACCGTTTGAAGACACACCACATGAGAAACAAAAGGGTATAATAAAAATGGTTGAAAAAGATACAAGAGCTGTAGCTGAAATAAATGAATTGTTGGAGGTTATTAACGCAAAAGAGTTTGGTCCTGGAGAATCTCCACTTCGAGAATTAGCTAAAATTGGATATATGTTAAGAAATGGTTTAACAACAGAAGAAATCGAAAGTCTGTATGATTCACAATATTTTCCATCTTTACGTGTACCACAATCACAGTCAGCTTTAGTCCAATTAGTAGAGCGTCAAGGACACGGTGCACTTATTACAGAAGTACTTACGGAGGAAACTGCTCAAGATGAAGACATTATTGCCGCAAAAGTTGGATTCCGTGCATTTTTAAAGATGGTAGAAATGAAACATACTTCGGTTGAAGAAGTTATTGCTCATTTCTACCCAGAAGACTTCAAGCCACGGTCCTGGGAACAAAGAGAAGCACATCAGGTAAATTAATAGTAAAATATATACATATATATAACATGTAATGTTGCATTTACATAGAAATGTAGTTGAGTTTATAAGATAATGCTAATCATTTCTTTTTTCGAAAACATTCAAGAGGTAGTTTTTGAATGTGATGTGTTGTGTGTTATATAATTATTGTTGAAAGAAATTTAAACAATACATAGCAATAAAAATACTGGAGGCATGAAATATAATAATGGTAGTTAATTAGTGGGGTGCACACTACCACTTACCACTATCTTTACAAAAAAAAAAAAATTATAAGCAGTATTTATACTATTCAAAATAATTGCAATGCGTTATAAAATAATGTTTCTTATTTTCCATAGACTATTGTGGAATCATCAGCTGAGCATTTAGCAGAGACACATATTACAGAAGTAATAAAAGGTAATAAAGTTATCCTTAAATAGTTAACATGTTATTATATGTTACCTTAGATTATACATTTTATATATTGGTAATTAATAGTCTCTGAGGAATTATTAAAATAAATAAACTAATTTTATAAGAAACTAGCTGACCACACGAACTTCGTACCGCCTAATAGTTGGTTTTTTTATTTTTTTAGTTTTTTTAATACTAATTCTGCTATTCAGGTCGCAGGGTCAGCTAGTAAGATAAAAATAAAAATAAAAAAGAAAATAATATGTCAACAATTACATTGTGTCAAAAAATTTAAATTATAAAACGCGCCGTGTTACGTTACTCAATAGCTATGCCTTCCCGGAACCTTTCCACTAACACTTGAATTTTATGGTGTGGTATTAAAGTTCAAATTCACTTTTATGTATTATTACGAATCGTTTGTAGGACAGAAAATTGAAATGGAATGTTCGTAGTACAGAAAAGTGTTGTTTTAGACTTTTTCAGGCATTTTTTAAAATTTTTCTCACCGTAAGAACCAGCCTCGTACTTCAAGGAATATTCTAAAAAAAAAAAATTAGAGAAATCGGTTCAGCTGTTGCTTGAGACTTGCGCTTAGCAACACATTCAGCGAATCATTTTTATATTATAAATTATGGATTCATATTAAAATTATGCACTTAAGCATTCCACTAAACTTTCTATAAGTGTATTAAATTTATATAAAATAAGGTAATATTATTGAAAGCATTGATATATTTATTATTTTTGTTTTAATTCTAACGACGTGAAACAAAAAATTATAATAATATATATAAAAATATAAATATTCCTTTTATAAATGTTTTAACTAAACAGTTCTTTACTCGTAATGTATAACAAAACGAAGTATTACAACAATAAGTAACGATCATAATCGTATATTTAAAGATATGATTTTCAGTGGACTGAGTACCACAAGACCATGTTTAAAAATTTGGTTTTAAACTGTATTATTATTACATATTTACCAATATTTTTATTCTATATTTTAACAGATACATCGACGGTTATACAAGAACGCCAAATTAAAGGTCAGTTTGCTATTTTATTGGTTACAGGTATATCTACTAATTTGATATGATATTAAATCATCTCAAATGAAATATAATATAGCCGTATTGTTTTATATCTCTTGCTACTGCTTTAACTCATGCTTTGATAACAGGCTTAACGTGTAAATTTAAATGCTTCAGCTGCTGGCTTAATTTATATTTAATCATTATTAAAATAATTGTATGAAGAATACCAAAATATAATAATACCATCATATCTAAAGATGCAATCATATCTGACAATGTATTAATTTTTATTTTAATAAAATAGTCTTATTAAAAATGAATTAATATTATTTTTCAAGTGGTTCAATTTCTAGTAAGCATATTAACTAAACCATTTGTGTACCGGCTGCAAGGTGCCACTAAGAGAAATTATATTATTAAACAAATAATATGAATGAAAGGAACCGCATACGAAACATATGTTAAGATGATATTAAAATACAGTAATTCCTATAAAGAGTTAGCTGACTTAGACTAAACTGCCAGCAACTATGTTTTTTTTATATTCAGTGTTGTTAAATTTTTATACTGGACCATACTAGTTCCCATTACCAGTCGCTTGCTTGATTGTGTAGACTATAATTCTCTGTCACTTTAGCAGATATCTTCTTTATTTATATTATTAGCACGAAGTGAACGAGCATAGCTCTTTTCATGGCTCGCTATGCGTCTTGGCTTTTTCAAATGGCTAGCAGACTAGGCCATAATTATTTATATGTTAATAATTAATTTAAAAATTTCTTGATCGGTTATTCAGTGTTTATTGTGCTTCAAGAATGTGAGCTGAACATAACACTTAACGACGCAAAATATATTTTAACGCATTGCAAGTAAGTATTAATTTCAACTATAACCTAATTTTAATTATATTAACACTATGTATACACTAGCAAAGTAAATCACAATACACTTTAGAAATATAATGAATAATAATAGCTTTTTAATTCACGCGCCTACTGGATCGCTTAATATAATATATAAAAATGTCTATTACTACGGTAATGCTCATTATACACTTTACTGTGATTTCACAGATGTGAAAGAAAAAGATAAGGCCAAACGAAAAAAGCAATTGAAGCAGAAAAGTGAATCGGAAGTGAGTGAAGTTGAAGAAGAAATTGTAACAGAGAAGACTGCAAAATTAAAAACACTACATCCTAAAGAAAAAGTTGAAATCTACGACGAAGATGAAACTAGATCATTAGACAGCGAAAATATACCTTATATCTCTACAATGGCTACAGATATTCATGAGAATAAAATAGAAATTATACCCGCAAGTCAAGTGACACATATTGTATCCGGTAAAATAGAAGATGTAACTGCAAATCTTAAAGTTGATTCAAATTATTCACTTATTAGTGATATACAACAAACTCAAGAAAAAGAAATGCCTTTACATGTAAAAGAAAATACTAAGATACATATAAAGCCATCAATGTCAGAAATAGAACCTTTACTAATAACTGAAATAGAAGTTAGTGGATCAGTAGACGAATATCATACAAGTAAATCAAAATTAGAAAATAAAGCTAATAAAGGTATTATTCCTGTAGAAAGTCTTGTAACTTCAGAAATTCTAACAAATGTTTCAGTTAGTGATTTTAAAAGAGAAGAAAAGCATTTAGAAAATGCAAAAACAGCTATGATATTAAAAGATGCGCTTAATATATCAGAACATATAACGTCTGTAAACGAGGAGCCACTAGAAGATACACCAGTCAAAAAATCTAGTGCAGCAGTATCATTTACTCCCTTATTAGGTCTAACTGTATCAGAAGTAATGGACGAAATCAAAGAAAGTGAAATAGATTCAAGTGGAAAGGAAAAAGAAGCAACGTCAAAACTGAACTTTAATTTACTTGAATCTATACAAGTGGGGGAAGTTTTTGTTGAAGATAAATCCGGAAAGTATTATCCTGAATTGATTGTACCTACTGAAACAGCTAGAAAAGATGTACTCGTTTCTAATCAAATAGTTACAGAAGTTCACGATGTTCAAGAAAAAGAAGGCTCATTGTCAGCATTAAAGCTACCACCGACTCAGGAAGCAAATATAGATATTACATCTAAAGATAGCATAGTGGTATCTATTAAAGAGACTCATGAAAAAGAAGAAGAACTACCAGTTGCAGAATTGCCTACTGAACTTACTGTTGGAAAAGATCTCACCTTACATACTAGTTTAAGCAATTCTATAACAACATCTCATATAAAAGAATCTGAATTTATTCCTGAATCATTTTCTAGCAAAAAAGCTTCTATCGGAGTTAATGAACTTCAACACACCTTTAACTTGGAAACAAATACACATGATTCAGAAATAATATTTGAAGAAGGCAAATCCGCACCTCGTTCCCAAGCAGAAGTATCGATATCTGTATTAGATAAACATATTACTGAAGTAGTTCAAGTCAATGAACGAGAAAAAGACCTTGTTGTTAAAGATGATAAAACAACAGCTACAGCTGATATTGATATAAAAGCTATTGAACCTATTATAACAGCGGAAACATTACATTTGACATCTACAGGCGAACTTAAATCTATAGAAAAAGTGACCGACGAATCTGCTACAGAAACTGTAATTACAACTAGTGCCAAAATAATTACCTCTCACATGGTACATGATCAAGAAATATCGGGAGAGTACTCAACTAGAAAGCCAGAAAATATAACCGCTTCGTTAATTCCCAATATCCCATTAACGATATCAGAAACAGAATCATCAGAGTCAGAAAATAAACTTAGTTTAAATAAAATACCCGATTTGACTTGTGCTAAGCCATCACCAACGCATCATCTTAAAACTCCTATATCACAAGAAGTTAATACAGCTGATCAGATAGACTTTATAAATGTACTACAAAATGTAACAGAAGTAGCATCAGAACAACAAGACCTTCATAAAGAAATAACTATTCTTCAAACAAACGTAGAAGAACAATTACAAAAATTAGACGAGAAGCAGACTTCCGAAAGTAAAGCTACATCAACATTTATTGGAAAGGAAAGTTTGAACGTAACTGAAGTAATATCTAGCATCACTGAAGAAAGTTTTGAAGGAGATAAGCCAAAGCTTAGTACTCATGCTAAGCTCGATATTGATATGGATCACAAAGTTGCTTTAGTTTCTGAAGTAAATACTAGGGATGCTTTAAATAAATTAGATATTTTAAAACCAAATTTAGAAGCAGCTAATATTACATCTAATACCATGACTTCAGTTCAAATTTCCGAAAATAAGATATTAGATAGTCAAGCATTTTTACCTAGTGATTTACAGCCAGATTTGAAATCTGTAAAACCAGAAATTATTCCATCACAAGAAACATTGAATGTTACAGAAATTATACAACATGAAAAAGAGTCAGATTATGATGCGAAGATATCTTCAGAATCTTTCCAGGCTACAACAGATATTATTGGTCGTCCTGTTGCAATTTCAGCTGAATTAATAATAGATTCTAGTGTTGGAGTTGCGGAAAAAGAAGACTTTGTTAGTAAATCTAAAAAAGCAGTAGTGGAAAATGTGGCACACAAGGAACTCATTGTTAGTACTACAGAATATAATGAAAAAGAAACGATATTAGAATCTGCTATCAAACCAAGTACTGTTGCAGCATCATTTAGTGTTGATTCTGCTCAAGCTATCATTATAGAAGAAAATAAACCTGAAATGTCTGCTCCATCATTTAAAACTCAAAGTGATTTATTATTGGCTAAAGCAAAAGAGTCTACTTCAATCAAAGAGGCATTTACTCAGGAAGAAACAATTGTTCACGCATCCGAAGGCGTACTCCCTGAAAAACAAACAATTAGTAGTACAAAACCTACAGTATCATTAACAACATTACAAGCTCCACAATATGATGAAAAAATCACAATAGAAAGTGAAAATGTACTTCTTGTACCACAAGCACCAGATCAACAAAATGCTGACTTTACAATATTACCTCGGCATGGCTTGCAAACAACAGAAACTATATCACAGTCAGAAAACCTGGAAAGTACTGATCAACTTGAAATGCGGTATAAAATAGCTTCTCAAAAAATTGATGAAATTTATGGCAAAACAGCTCACACTGAAGAAGTAATTGCCAGTCAAATAACTTCTGAATTCAATAACGAGAAAATAGTTGAACAAAAATCTAATATTGTATCAATTACATCCCATACTTTTGAACAAACCGAAATTGTGGCTGCAGAAAAAGAAACAGTCATTCCTGAACAAACACAAATAAAATCAAATGTAGTTCCCGATTTTACAGAAACGCAAGCTATTATTACAAGCTGCGTAGAAACTATTGACAAAGAAAAAAAATTTGAAGGTAAATTCTCTTTACCCACTCATGATGTTTCTGTACAATTTGTACCACTTAACAGTACCATTGACACCGAAATTTTGACTGCTGGTAGTGTTAGTGATTATAAAGAAAAATCTTTAAAACCATCACAAGCAATACTAACACGTGATGACTTGCAGAAACATATACAAAATACTGAAGTATTACATGGTGAAAAAGAATCTCTCTTATCTGAATTTAAAAAAGAAGTTTATTCTGCTTCCCAAAAATTGGTAGAAACATCTGCAAAAGAAATTGTTGAAGTTCAGGTAATAGAAAATGAAAAAGAATTAAGTGACACCTTTGAAATAATGAGCTCAGTAGCTCATCCGTCATTTAAAGAACAACAGTCATTACTAAATACAGAAATTATATTAACTCATGAAATTGAAGACCTACATGTATCTGGAACGAATTTAATCAATGCTCTTACAACTCATGGAATACAAGAAGCTATTCAAAAATCAGAACCTTTCATTGGAGAAGTAGAAGATACTTTCGCTAGAGAAGTACCTCAAGAAAAAACGACAAAGGGTAATGTAGAAGAACAAAAGTCACTTGATGTTACGGAAATTATCATTACAGAATCTGAATTACCTTTAGAAAAACAATTGGCTTTGAAAAAAGAGACATTAAAATCTCAAATTGAAAACAAACACTATATTGATATATCTGAGATAACACCAAATGAGAAAGAAGAGGTATTTCAGCCTTTAGATAGAATACCAGAAGGTAAGTCCATACAACCAACGCCCAACATTACATTACATTCTAGTATTGGTGTAAAGGAGATCGTTCCAAATGAAGAAGAAAGTACATTATCTGTCACTACTGATATCAAATCTCAACAAGCCAGTTTTCTGATTGATTCTCAACAACACATTACAGTAACTGACACAATAGCAAGAGAAAAAGAAGAATTATTGAAATCTGAGAATATACCAATTACTTCAAATCAGCATGTTGACATAAAAACAGCTCATCATATAACCACTAGTGAAACTGTTTTGATTGAAGATGGTTCAGATTTAGTAGATAATAGAGTAATAAGAGACGAAAGAGCTCAAAAATCAGAAATTCTAACCGAAGCTATTCATAATGAACAACAACAAATTATTGAAAGTGTAAACTCATTTAGTACCACATTCAAACCTGAAACATCACTAGCTAGTCAAAATATTGTTGACTTTAAGCCAGTTGAACAAACTGAAATTATAACAGAAGAAAATCCCGAACTATTTACAAAATTCTCACCCAAAGATGAAAAGGCATTGCAAACACAAACAACTGTTAAAGAAATAGTTAACATTCAGCCACAAGTGATAGAAAGTACTACAAAGTTAGCAACTACTTTTGAACTCGAAACATCATTAGCTTCTCAAGATATTGTTGACTTTAAACCTGTTGAACAAACAGAAATTATTACAGAAGAAACTCCTGAATTATTTACAAAATTCACACCTAAAAATGAAAAGGCATTGCAAACACATACAACTGTTAAAGAAATAGTTAATACCCAACCACAAGTGATAGAAAGTACAACAAAATTGACAACTAGTTATGAGCCTGAAACATCATTAGCTAGTCAAGATATTGTTGACTTTAAACCTGTGGAACAAACTGAAATTATTACAGAAGAAAACCCTGAACTATTTACAAAATTCTCACCCAAAGATGAAAAAGCATTGCAAACACAAACAACTGTTAAAGAAATAATTAACATTCAACCACAAGTAATAGAAAGCACTACCAAGTTAACAACTACTTTTGAACTCGAAACATCATTAGCTTCTCAAGATATTGTTGACTTTAAGCCTGTTGAGCAAACAGAAATTATTACAGAAGAAAATCCTGAAATATTTACAAAATTCACACCTAAAAATGAAAAAGCATTGCAAACACATACAACTGTAAAAGAAATAGTTAACACCCAGCCACAAGTGATAGAAAGTACTTCAAAGTTAGCTACTGCTCATGAACCTGAAACATCAATAGCTAGTCAAGATATTGTTGATTATAAACCTGTCGAACAAACTGAAATTATTACTGAGGAAAATCCTGAACTATTTACAAAATTCTCACCCAAAGATGAAAAAGCATTGGAAACACATACAACAATAAAAGAAATAGTTAACACCCAGCCACAAGTGATAGAAAGCACTACAAAGTTGACTACAACTTATGAACTCGAAACATCACTAGCTTCTCAAGATATTGTTGATTTTAAACCAGTTGAACAAACAGAAATTATTACAGAAGAAAGCCCAGAACTATTCACAAAATTCTTACCCAAAGATGAAAAAGCATTACAGACACAAACAACAGTTAAAGAAATAATTAATATTCAACCACATGTGATAGAAAGTACTACAAAATTGACAACTAGTTATGAGCTTGAAACATCACTAGCTTCTCAAGATATTGTGGACTTTAAACCTGTTGAACAGACTGAAATTATTACAGAAGAAAACCCTGAACTATTTACAAAATTCTCACCTAAAGATGAAAAAGCATTGCAAACTCATACAACTGTTAAAGAAATAGTTAACACTCAACCACAAGTGATAGAAAGTACAACAAAACTGACAACTACCTATGAACCTGAAACATCATTAGCTAGTCAAGATATTGTTGACTTTAAACCTGTTGAACAAATTGAAATTATTACTGAAGAAAATCCTGAACTATTTACAAAATTCTCACCTAAAGATGAAAAAGCATTGCAAACTCATACAACTGTTAAAGAAATAGTTAACACTCAACCACAAGTGATAGAAAGTACAACAAAACTGACAACTACATATGAACCTGAAACATCATTAGCTAGTCAAGATATTGTTGACTTTAAACCTGTTGAACAAATTGAAATTATTACTGAAGAAAGTCCAGAACTATTTACAAAATTCTCACCCAAAGATGAAAAAGCTTTGCAAACACATACAACTGTTAAAGAAATAGTTAACACTCAACCACAAGTGATAGAGAGTACTACAAAATTAACGACTACATATGAGCCTGAAACCAGTGAAATAAATTATGAATTGGAATTGCATAAAAGTTATACTACCCTAGAAAATACTATACAAGAAGAATCTGATATGATAATAAGTCAAGAAACTCAACACAAAACAGCCGAAAAACAAATTATCGAAATTAGACCTTTACAACAAACTGAAGTAATAACAGGAGAAAAACTTGTCACATTCTCTGAAAATGTACCTGAAAGAAAAGAAAAAGCCGAAGAAAGTCACATAATATTGCAAGAAATATCAAGTGAAAAACCAGAAGTACTTGAAAATATTACAGATATTCCAGAGTTATCAAAAACTGATACAAATATGGCATCTTTAGACCTTGAGACACACAAAAGTTACATAGTTACAGAAAACATAACGCATGAGGAATCAAAGGACATCGCAATAGAAGGTAATAAAATAAGACAAGTCACACAACAGGTTCTAGATATTAAGCCACTAGAACAGACTGAAATTGTTGCTGAAGAAAACACTTCACATATTAATGCACTCTCATTTAAAGAGTCTACTATTCTCGCTAAACCTATTGAAATTCTTCCCATTAGTCAAACAGATGTTATTGTACATGAAAGTGAAATCGAAACATCATTTGAAAAAGGAGGTATTTTGGAACAAGCATTTTCATCATTCAATACTACTGAAGGTATAACAGTGTATGAAGTAACACATGAAGATACACAGGACAAACTTGTACCACATGAGAGCAAACTAGCAACTGCAGATAAATCCGTTACTCCATTGACACATCTACAATGCACAGAAAATATATTACAAACTCAAGCTGATGAATTGCAAACACAAGAGACACAAACTAAGACCTCAACAATAACACCTACCAGTATATTACCTTTAGTAGTCACAGACAATGTTATTCTTCAACATGAAAAAGAGTTACATATAAAAGAACCAAAGGAACAAAAACTGAAAGAAGGTGTTACTGTGGCAAATGAACTTAAAGTTTCAACCGAGTTTATTGATGAACAAATATCACCTTACTCAGAAACTCAACCGACATTATTGACTAGCAAGATTACTACTACTGATGAAAGACACGCCGAAGCATTGATTTCGGAACAAGACATACGTATATGTGGTAAGTTTCAAATATCACATAATTCTCAACAAATTATCATTATTATAACTATATCACTATACACAGAAATAAATTTACACAAACTGTATATATTTTTAGATATAACTAGTACAATGCAACAAAAACAACTTCTCTTTACTTTTCTCTTTTTATACATATCCTATGTATGTCGTAACTTAGTATCTATGGGTTCGACTCCTGTAGTGATAATAAAGGAAAATCGCAAACAATACTTCAATATTAGGAAAACTTTAATATAACCCAGCATAAATGGGGAATAAAAAATTGTTAAAAATTTCCACAAAGTATTTATGGAGATTTTTAACAAGGACATTTAAAAGATATAGAAACTCCTTAACAAAAAAAATATTATACTGTGTACCTACATATCACATATGTATATACTGTTTAATTATATTATTTTCTCCTTTTGATTATTATGAAATAATAGCAGCTTTGATTATATAGATAAAGTGTCTCCATAAAATGCTGCGAGAAAAACGGGTCAACTTTTTGATATAATTTTGCGTGATAAATAGTTATGAGTAATTCCTTTATAACTTCTACATTTATTTTGTTTTATAATTACTGCATCTTTTAAATGCGTAATCATTCATTTTATTTATGAAATAATACGTCAAGATACATTTTATGTGTATCTAGAATACTGATAAAAAAACGTAAGCTAATTTGATAATTAGTTGACAAAAAGTTAACCCGTTTTTGAGGCTCGATGCTCTACCTATATAATCTAAGATTACAAATATATCTATTATAAAACTGTTTTTTATAAAAATCATCATTGGGTATACTACATTATATATAAATATATATATGCACAAACATAATAATAATAACCAATATTCGTGAATGTATATTGAAACTACATCAAATTAAACATTTTTTTTGTTTCTAGTATAAATTTTCATATATACAAGTACAAATTTCAATAGTAATCATTATTAAATAAGATTTATAAAATAATAATTATTTTAAACATCATGTTTTATATGTATATAAGAAAAAATAATTTGATAAAGCAATATACATGAAATAAATTAACTATAAATTTATTTCATGTATATTGCTTTATCAAATTTTTTTTCTATTAATTATTTTGGGATCTATAGACATGTCTCTTAGTAGGCAATTTTTTTAGTACGCAAAATTAATAAACTGCCAAAAACGTGTAGAATATTCATTAATTATGTAGCGTAGTTAAAAAATTATTAAATTTCATAGGCAAGTTTAAGAATAGGTATACAAGAATTAGTATAAGTTAATGTTTATAGATAATTATTTTTAATAACATTTACTAAGAAGGCTAGAAATCATTGGTAACAAAGGAAAGTCATAACTGATATATGTTCGTCTGGCTAACTTTTATATAACAAGCAACTATTAGTCAAATTTAAAAACTAGATAATAAGATAGAATAAGAAACAGCTATGCTGTATGATTTGAAATATAGTAAGGGTCGTATGAGAATTGTTTATAGAAAAATATAGTTTATTATACTTTAAAAAATTACGAAGATAATGTATAATATACAAATGCGAATAAAAATGTAGTTCAGTTTAGAACCTTCTCTTGTTTGAGATAAATAAAATATTATTATGAATATAAAAATCAAAATATTATATGGCTTTTAGTATAATTTGAATAGTTGCTTATGAAACCTAATGATGATTTTTCAACATTGTTTACAGTATATACACAGGACAGTTCAACATATAACATGTTATTGAAATACGAAAGCTAATATTATTTGTAATAATACAAGCTTTTGTATACATAAAAATTATGAAAAACTTGGATCACATATTCATTACTTACTCTATAATAACATTCAAATACAAACACTAAAACATAAAAAACTTTTTCAGAAAAATCAAAAGTTACACCGGTTTCACCAAAATCATCTGACACTGAAGAAACTGAAGAGATTGTAACCAAATTTGTACAAGCTCCAGGAAGCGGAGAACCGATACAAATAAAAACCAAGCGCACAATATTAAGAAAAATTAAAAAGAAAGGTGGCAAAGACGTTGATGAAGGTGATATTGTTATTGAAGAAAGTCTCGATGACGACGATAAGAAACAACCGCAACAAAAAGTGCTCCACGAAGTTAATATTGAAGAATACGAAGGAGATGAGACTGTTGTCGACGATTCAGAAAAAAGTACAATCGAGATGCCTGAAGAACATTTGCCAATACCAAAACTACCATCTCAAGTTCAAATAGAAGAAATGACAGAAGAAGATGAAATACCTGCAGTGAAAATTATAGAGCTACCTGAAGAAACTGTTGTAGAAGAGTATAAGACACCAGAAGGGACAAAGAAAAAGAAAATCACCAAACGTGTAATCAAAAAGAAAGTGGGTTCCAAAGTAGAAACTACAGAAATAGCCACGGAAGAAGAAGATAACAAAGAGCCGATTGTCTCTGTAAGTAAGACAGAAGAAGTAGTAGATGAGACACTCGACGACTTTGCAGTCACATATAAACCTGAAGTAGCACAAATCATTGAAGAATCTCCCGAACAGGTGGAGATTATTCGAGTTCGCACAGAAACTGGTAAAACAAAAGATATAAAAACGTCGAAAAGAATTATTAAAAAGAAAAAAGGCGACGCGAATGAAATTACGGAAATAACAACAATTCAAGAAGATGGAGAAGCACCGGTTACAACAGTGACAATAAAAGAATCAGTGCCTGAAACGGTAGAAGTCACAGAAACAGAAGAAGTAATAGAATTGCCTGAAGAAATAGTAGTAGAGGAAAAGAAAGGACCAGATGGAAGTACAAAACAAAAGAAAACCATAAAGAGGATAATTAAAAAGAAGAAAGGACCAAAAATAGAAACCACGGAGATAACAACTGAGCAAGAAGACGATAAGCAACCAGTAGTTTATGTACATAAGACTGAAGAAATATCTGATGACTCAACTACGGACTTCATTCTTAAATATGAACCAGAAAAAGCGCAAGTTATAGAAGAGCAGCCAGAGAAAATTGAAATAACTCAAGTTAAAACAGAGAGTGGCGATGTGAAAAAGATTAAAACTTCTAAAAGAACTATAAAAAAGAAAAAAGATGGCAAAGAAGAAATTACTGAAATAACGACCGTAGAGAAGGATGATCAAGCACCGATATCAATAGTGACAGTATCTGAAAAACCAGTAGAAGAGCCATTGGTATCTGAGGATGTGGAAGAAGTCACTCGCAAACATAAAAAGACTATTAAGCGTGTGAAAAAAATTAAAGCAGATCAAAATATCGAAACAGCAGATATTATAACAGAACCATATAATGAAGAAACAACACCTGAATTTACAGTTAAACATACATCTGATAAAGCGGATATCATAAATGATGTTCCAGAAAAAATAGAAATTTCTGAACTACCAGTTGAAATAATAACTGAAGAGGAGACACCTGAAACTAAAACAAAAAGGGTAAAAATTGTAAAACGTACTGTTAAAAAGAAGAAATCGATTGACACTACAGACACTACAGAAGATCATGAAAAACAACCTACGATTGCTGAAATTGATGAAGTGAAAGATGAACCAATTAAAGAATTTACAGAAGTATTAAAGTTGGAAGAGGTTCAACCTTCTAAAGTAATCGAATTGCCAGAAGAAGTTGAAATTCAAGAAACTAAGACACCTGAAGGTAAAATAAAGCAAAAGAAAATTATCAAACGTATCATTAAAAAGAAAATAGGTCCAAAAACAGAAACAACAGAAATTACAACTGAACAAGATGACGATAGTCAACCTGTTGTTTCAGTTCACAAAACAGAAGAATACACAGACAGTACTATTGAGGAATTTAATGATACATATGAACCTCAAAAAGCATTACTAGTAGAAGAAATACCCGAAACAGTAAAAGTATCACAAGTTAGAACAGAAACAGGTGATGTTAAGACAGTAAAAACTACAAAGCGAGTTATAAAGTCGAAAAAAGGACCAAAGAAAGAGGTGACAGAGATAGTTACTATAGAAAAAGAAGGCGAAAGTCCAATAACGACGGTGAATGTAATTAAAGAAGAAATTCCTGAAGAGAAAGAAGAAAAACTAGTAGAAGTTGTGGAATTACCTGAAGAAATAGCGGTTGTGGAAACTAAAACGCCAGAAGGCAAACTTGAAAAGAAAAAAGTTACAAAACGCGTAATAAAAAGGAAGGTAGGTCCTAAAGTGGAAACAACAGAAATTGTTACTGAACAACAAGAAAATGAAGAGCCAGTTATTTCTGTTAGTACTACAGATGAAATTGTAGATGAAGAATCTACACCGTTCACAATATTACAAACAGTAGCTACGGCAAAAACTATAGAAGAGATTCCAGAAACAGTTCAAGTTACACAAGTGCGTACAGAAAAGGGTGATGTTAAATCTGTTAAAACTACCAAAAGGGTAATAAAAAAGAAAAAAGGACCAAAACAGGAAATAACTGAGATAACAACCATAGAAAAACAAGATGAGGCACCTATCACAACTGTCACTGTGATAGAAAAAGATGATATACCTACAGAGGAAACGAAACCAATAGAAATGATTGAGCTACCTGAAGAGACTTACGTTGAAGAGATGAAAACTCCAGATGGAAAAACTAAACAAAAGAAGATAATCAAACGCACTATCAAAAAGAAAATCGGTCCTAAAGTAGAAACAACTCAAATTATTTCTGAGCAAGAAGATGATACAAAGGAACCTTCTATTTTTGTGCATAAAACGGAAGAAACATTAGATGATGTTACTATACCACTAACCATTACTCCATATGACAGTGATAAAGCTAGAATTGTGGAAGAAATACCTGAAGAAGTCAGTGTTACACAAGTACGTACGGAAACAGGTGAAACTAAATCTGTTAAAACTATAAAACGAGTTATTAAAAAGAAAAAAGGTCCTAAAGAAGAAGTAACTACCATAACCACTGTTGAAAAGCAGGGAGAAACTCCTGTTACAACTGTCACAGTTAGTGATAAAGAAGATGTAGTTCCAAAAGTTGCTGTACCACTTGAGACAGTTGAGCTTCCGGAAGAAACAACTGTCGAAGAATTTACAACTCCAGAAGGCACAACCAAGCTTAAAAAAGTTATAAAGCGCACTATAAAGAAAAAAGTAGGCCCTAAAGTAGAAACAACTCGAATTGTCACAGAACAAGAAGATGAAAGTCAAGAACCAATAATATCTGTGCACAAAAGTGAAGAAATTTTAGAAGATTTTACCGTACCATTAGAGCAGATATTAGATGAACCTCATAAAGCTGATATAGTTGAAGAAGTTCCCGAAGATGTGAAAGTTACACAAGTAAGAACACAATCCGGTGAAAAGAAATCAGTAAAAACTACAAAACGAGTTATCAAAAAGAAGAAAGGACCAAAAGAAGAAGTTACAGAAATAGTCACTGTTGAAGCAGAAGGAGAATTACCTATTACTACTGTAAGTGTAGTCGAGAAAGACCACATTCCTCAAGAAAAAGTAATGCCGATAGAGACTGTCGAACTACCTGAAGAGACTTTTATTGAAGAAACTGTAACGCCAGAAGGTATTACTAAAAAGAAAAAAATAATGAAACGTATAATAAAAAAGAAAGTTGGACCCAAAGTAGAAACAACAGAAATCATAACAGAACAAGGTGACAGTAAAGAACCTATTATCTCTGTACATAAGACAGAAGAAATATTAGAAGATGTCACCTCTCCTCTAGTCCAAATGATTCCTGAATCTGACTCTGCTAGAATTATTGAAGAAATTCCAGAGGACGTTAAAGTTACCCAAATACGTACAGAAACAGGAGAAACTAAATCTATTAAAACCACAAAACGAGTCATTAAAAAGAAAAAAGGACCCAAAAAGGAAGAGGTAACTGAAATTACTACAGTTGAAGCCGAAGGAGACACACCTATTACAACAGTAACGGTTACTGAAGAAGAAATACCAAGTGATGAAACACATGAAGATATTATTGAGGTCCCTGAAGAACCTATTACTGAAGAATCTAAATCACCAGAAGGTAAGTCTATCAAGAAAAAAGTTACAAAACGTGTTATTAAAAAGAAAACAGAGCCCAAAACTGAAACATCACAAATAACTATCGAAGAAGACTATAAACAACAACCTATTTCAACACACACAACAGAAGACATTATTGACGATACCACTACACCACTTATTACTTCACATGAACCAATAAAAGCAAAAATTGTTGAAGAAACGCCAGAAAAATATAATATTACTGCAACATTAACACACATAGACGAAATTAAATCAGACAAGACCACTAAAAAGGTAATTAAAAAGAAAAAAGACCGCAAGATCGAAGAAGAAACTATTGCACATCTAGATAGTCAACCAATTGAAATAATAGAACTACCTGAAGAAACAACTGTGGAAGAAACTGAAACACCTGAAGGTTTTGTAACGAAAAAGAAAATAACTAAACGTGTAATTAAGAAAAAGAAGGGCCCCAAATTAGAAACAACAGAAATAGTTAGCGAACACGTAGATAATAAAGAACCAATAGTATCTGTACATACTACAGAAGATATCATAGAAGATACTGTTTCACTATTTACAGATACCGTACAAACACCAGAAAAAGCTGTACTGATAGAGGAAATTCCCGAGAAAGTAGAAATAACACAAGTTCGTACAGAATCTGGTGAAATTAAATCAGTTAAGAAAACAAAACGAGTTATTATGAAAAAAAAAGGACCTAAAAAAGAAGTTACAGAAATTACTACCATAGAAAAAGATGGTGAATCACCAATAACAACAGTAAATGTTATTCCGCAAGAAATACTCGAAGAGGACAAAGTTTTAGAAACAATTGAAGCGGTAGAGTTGCCTGAAGAAACTACTGTCGAAGCAATAGAATCCACAGATGGTAAACCAAAATTCAAAAAAGTTACAAAACGTATTATTAAAAAGAAGAAAGGACCTAAAATTGAAACAACTGAAATTACTACGGAAGAAGAAGATAATAAACAGCCCGTAGTCTCAATTCACACTGTGGAAGAAGTAGTGGATGAGACCAGTCTACCGTTTACAGAGAAAAATCAAGCACCAGATACTGTTACAGTTATTGAAGAAATCCCTGAAAAAGTAGAAATTACACAAGTACGAACAGAATCTGGTGAAGTTAAATCAGTGAAGACTGTAAAAAGGGTAATTAAAAAGAAAAAAGGTCCAAGCAAGGAAATTACTGAAATTACAAGAATAGAAACGGAAGGTGAAACTCCATTTACTACTATCACGGTTAGTGAAGAAAAAGTTCCAGAAGAAGATGACTTGATTGTAAATGAAACCACTGAAATACCTGAAGAAAAATCTGTTGAAGATTTTCAGGATGGTAAGCTTAATGAAAAGAAAATTGTTAAACGTAAAAAGAAAGTAGGGTCTAAAACTAAACCAATACAAATAACTACTGAAGAACAAGACAATAAACAATATACAATATCAGTACACACTACCGAAGAAATCAGTGATGACACCACTACACCACTCGAACATACATTACGTCCACAAGACACAGCTAATATACTAGATGAAACATCTGAAAAAGTAAAAGTCACTCAAATTCATACAAAAATTAGTGAAGATACGCCTATTATCGATACAGAGCGCGTTACAAAGAAGATTAAAAAACCCAAGAAAAAGACCGTTGAATATGACGACGTTTTTGAGGAAATTACACCTAAAAACGAAGAAGATAGAATCAAATCACCTGAATTTATTGTAGAAGAAATTGAAACTCCTCATGGTAAGCCAATGAAATGTTATTTTTACATTAATAGGTCATTTAATCATTCATCGCCACCAATTTTATAAATGCAGTATTTTTGATTGATTACATATTTATCACTTGGAGATAATATTACAGAAACATAACTTAAAATTTCAACTCTCGGTTAGACCACGTTGTGACTAATTTTATAATAAAATAAATTAGATTTGACGGAATGTAATACTCATGTTTTTGTATGAAACTTGTCAACTGTCAATCCGGTCAATATCAGTCATATTCTATAAAGGACAGTAAGTTACTTTACATCATCGCAGTAATCATAATGTCTTTCTTTCTTAACAAGTCACTAAACTTCCTAAATACAAATTTTATCATTTAAAACTATTCCTAGTGAATCACTATTAAACATGTTATTTATATAGATGTTTTAGTTTGAATGGCACACACAAGACTACTACGAGACAGGTGCTTTACCTGTGATCGTACTAGATCCATTACACTTTTGTTGCCTCTGCGGAGAATGTCATGTTATCAAAACTTTTACCGTGATATTTATCACACATATTTTATGATATTCAGTACGTGAAAAAAATAAAATAATCGTTATAATTAAAATATAGCTTGATAATCAGTCTTTAACTGATTTAATATATCTTAATATCATCATCATCACTATCATAATAACTCATCATCATCAAATAGGTGTTACTTTTGTTTATGAAAGCCATTTTCGTTCTTTTTAACGTTCAAATGCAATCTATATTACGCTATTTGCACTGAACACAGACGATCTATTGGACTACCCTGATATAGAATTTTACTGCCAAGTTTCCTTCCATTATTGTATCTATCTAAACGTTAAAGTCTAAAATATGTGTTATTCAAATGTGTCCAATGCGTGTTATTGAAAATATTATGCTAACGGAACGTCTTCGAAACGATTTTATTAACTTTCATCTTTCAGTTATTAATCTTCTTGTAGAGTATTGAAGGAGGAACAGCGATGTCTAACCTGTTATCTAGCGCATTTTGAACATCTACCATTTACTGTTTCACAAACTCGTTGATTCTCACGTACCTAACGTTGATAAATTTACATTGTCACGTCTAAAGACAAAGCATATGTATCATAATTCCTAGTTTATATAAGTGTAAAAAATTGAGTCATTATAGTACTTACTCATATTACATTTACCATAAACAGAATTTTATTTTTCATATATGTTATAATTTTACTTGACGTGTATTTAAGGACGTTCTTTAATGTATCCAAAAACATGAATCAGGTGTGACGAATCCTACACAATTTATTTTCAATCTCAAACTAATTTCCTATACCTACCTGAATACATTACAATGTCTATGTATACCATATTTATACTATATATACAAATACCATAATTTCAAAAGACAAAATACCTAGTTCATAATAATTTGTGCTTCACTAGTGATACGAATTGTTGAGTTACGTTTACTATACAACGCCAGTCGCTATCATCATCATTTTTAATTTGCGTGATCATTAATCATCAACATCAGTCAATATTGGAATAATCCAAAAATTAAATTTATAACTATGCACTTGGTAACTACAGAACAAGAGGTTTTCATTACACTTTAAAGTTTTTAATGTAATGCTATATAATGATACAAATCTTATCCTATTTAATTTATTCTAATATATATATCAGCCGGGGCTCTACTCTAACACTCATAATTTTTTTTATTTTAATAAACTACCGAAGGCAATTCTGATAGTATCTGTTATTCACGAATGACTTAAAAATGCTTTCAAAATTTTATAATAGCGGTAACCCGATTATCTCCAGTGAGATATTGATAATGAAATTATGTAGTGTTGTTATAACCATGTGGGTAATTTATAACGTTGTTATATACCCGTATTGTAGTCGCTCGGATAACTCACAGCTGTTTATTTACCTTATTATTGTAAATTATTGCCTTATTGTAAATGATTACCTTTGGCTAGCGCCACATTAGGTTGATTATTAACTGTCTATCTTCCACGACCGAATACTAACACATAAAATTGCATAAAATTAGCAACTTTTATTCACACTGCACCACATATCGATCAATATAATACATAACGCTGCGAAACACTCTCATCTGGTATTTGTTCGGTCGTTATGTACCGAATTTCGATCGACGAAAGAATGGCAAAACTTCATTTTACGCTTTCTTATAAAGACAAATGGTGAAGTGGCGTTTTAAATGAATAAGCATAGGCTTCAATATGTATGTACATATATTATTATTATTTTACTTTATTTGAAACATTTTTTACCTTTTGTGTTGTGTGTCTTACCGTTGTGGCACATAATTTTATAAGTTCAAACATTGTGTGCTGGTAATGGTAAATGAACAATTTATCTACCTATGTGTTGACTTCTCGCGTTGGTGGATACTTATGTGATCAAAGGTACGTGATGCTAGCCTTGTATCTACAATAACCGATTAGGAATTCGTCAGTGTACTTATGTGTCCCACTTGGATGTTATAGCTAATAATGTCTGCAAAAATAAACTTAAAGGTAAAACGCAACATGGGTGCATCATGTTTATTATGTACATGATTTATTTGCTCACAATCATTATAAAAGCTTAGCAACTTGTTAAACAATTATACCATAAGAGTTCCGGCTCCCTTTATAAAAGTCCAAGTTCGGACATATTATGATACTATAAATTAAGAACATTGTTGTACTATAACGTATATTATATACTATGAGTATGTTAATAAGAAATAAAATAATGTGGCAGTTCCAGCTGCATAGTTATGATAATTAAATTTTAGACACATTCCCGTCACATAATATTATTATCATGCTGTTAATTGCAATAAAAACACATGAATTTACCTTATACATTTTACATTATATAGTATATGTTGACTGCAATTCATTTACATCATGACTTGCGCTGAGTATAATGACTCTGCATGCCTTCTGGTGAACAGGACTGTCTATCTGATGAGATCGGTTTGGATACCAGCATACAGCACCCTAGAAATATTTGTTATTATTTATTTAAATAATATACCAAACAATATATATTAAAAGTCAATGAATATTGAATTTAGAACGTATAAATTATGCTTTTGATTTGACACGAACTAAATTTTTAATAAGATCCTTTTGTATATTGTAATTTTATCATACTATCTTACTGTAATCACTGCTCAAATCAATATTTACTAATTCAAGTGTCAAAATCAGAAAATAATCTGTAAAGTGTTAAAATTGTAAATTGCTATTCAAAACAAAAATATCTTAACATTTCCGCACTTTCATTGCTGTCATTTACAGTATTGTATGATAAATAACATTAGCATCAAATATGATGAACTACGTTTTTTAATAAACATTTATTATAATTAAACAATGTTTGGTCACTTACAAAAAGTATTTACATTTGTACTATATATATCACATTTTTCCTAACTAGCTTTCCGTCCGCTACTTCATACTCATTGATTTCAGAGGTAGAAAATTCAATAAAATAGTCCATTTCTTAATGGCATTTTAAAATAAAACATACACCAGATTTTAAGTTACACCTTCAAGAACATAATTGTGATAACCAATTTGGTGCAGTAGTTGCGTGATGCCAGAACAAACATACATATATATAGACAAAATTTCCAAAAAATATTGTTTTGGTTTTTATTGATCTTATTAAGATCTCTAATATATTTTTTCTTGAATATCTTCCATATTCTATGTTATCATCCGGACATCGTTTAGTTATATTTTTATTATATGTATGTGTACCTCGTCGAATATCTTCCTCAAACCAGCTGTAAATGTTCCTGTTATTGTAAAATAAATATCACGTAGATAAAATCTTAATTATGGATGTTCACGACAGTGTCGCTAACAAAACAGAGAAAGATATCTATACACTTTAATAGATTTCAGAATTTTACCGTTAAGATATTTGTATTAGAACGTTGACAACGATTATGACTTAATTGTTGTTATAACACACATATAAAAAAAAATATTATTAATATTTAAAAACGCATATACAATAGCACTATCACTAATGCACTCCTCATTATACATAAGCATATATTCATTCATATTTTATCTTGTCATTATATTTCAATGCAAACACTAAAACATAACATACTTTTTCAGAAATATCAAAAGTTACACCGGTTTCACCAAAATCATCTGACACTGAAGAAACTGAAGAGATTGTAACCAAATTTGTACAAGCTCCAGGAAGCGGAGAACCGATACAAATAAAAACCAAGCGCACAATATTAAGAAAAATTAAAAAGAAAGGTGGCAAAGACGTTGATGAAGGTGATATTGTTATTGAAGAAAGTCTCGATGACGACGATAAGAAACAACCGCAACAAAAAGTACTCCACGAAGTTAATATTGAAGAATACGAAGGAGATGAGACTGTTGTCGACGATTCAGAAAAAAGTACAATCGAGATGCCTGAAGAACATTTGCCAATACCAAAACTACCATCTCAAGTTCAAATAGAAGAAATGACAGAAGAAGATGAAATACCTGCAGTGAAAATTATAGAGCTACCTGAAGAAACTGTTGTAGAAGAGTATAAGACACCAGAAGGGACAAAGAAAAAGAAAATCACCAAACGTGTAATCAAAAAGAAAGTGGGTTCCAAAGTAGAAACTACAGAAATAGCCACGGAAGAAGAAGATAACAAAGAGCCGATTGTCTCTGTAAGTAAGACAGAAGAAGTAGTAGATGAGACACTCGACGACTTTGCAGTCACATATAAACCTGAAGTAGCACAAATCATTGAAGAATCTCCAGAACAGGTTGAGATTATTCGAGTTCGCACAGAAACTGGTAAAACAAAAGATATAAAAACGTCGAAAAGAATTATTAAAAAGAAAAAAGGCGACGCGAATGAAATTACGGAAATAACAACAATTCAAGAAGATGGAGAAGCACCGGTTACAACAGTGACAATAAAAGAATCAGTGCCTGAAATGGTAGAAGTCACAGAAACAGAAGAAGTAATAGAATTGCCTGAAGAAATAGTAGTAGAGGAAAAGAAAGGACCAGATGGAAGTACAAAACAAAAGAAAACCATAAAGAGGATAATTAAAAAGAAGAAAGGACCAAAAATAGAAACCACGGAGATAACAACTGAGCAAGAAGACGATAAGCAACCAGTAGTTTATGTACATAAGACTGAAGAAATATCTGATGACTCAACTACGGACTTCGTACTTAAATATGAACCAGAAAAAGCGCAAGTTATAGAAGAGCAGCCAGAGAAAATTGAAATAACTCAAGTTAAGACAGAGAGTGGCGATGTGAAAAAGATTAAAACTTCTAAAAGAACTATAAAAAAGAAAAAAGATGGCAAAGAAGAAATTACTGAAATAACGACCGTGGAGAAGGATGATCAGGCACCGATATCAATAGTGACAGTATCTGAAAAACCAGTAGAAGAAACATTGGTACCCGAAGACGTAAAAGAAATCAGTGACAAACGTAAAAAATCGATCAAACGGGATAGAAAAAAGAAAGGAGAAGAAAAATTAGCAGACACATCAACGATATCAGACATTAGTGATATTATAGAAGAAGCAGTTACAAAACAGAAACCTGACATTGAAGCAATTACAGATATTTTAGAAACAGATGTACCTGACGAAGTAATGGCTGAGGAAATAATAGCACCAGAAGGTAAGTCTAGAAAAACAAAGGTAACAAAACGCACAACAAAAAAGAAAATACAATCGATAGCAGAACATACTTCAGACCAAGACGACACAACACCTAAAATATCTTCACTACTCGACGAGAAAACAGATGACACTAAAAATATACATACAGACAAAACAGAATCATTACAAATTGAAGAAATAAAACCAACAGAGACAATCGAATTACCTGAACAAATAATACTTCAAATGTCAGAAACACCAGATGGAAAAGTAAAACAAAAGAAAATTACAAAACGTATCATTAAAAAGAAAGTAGGTCCAAAAACAGAGGTAACTGAAATCACTACTGAACAAGACGATGACAATCATCCAGTCATATCAGTACACAAAACAGAAGAAAACACAGATGACACATTGCAAGATTTAATAGATACACAAGAACCATTAAAGACATTAGTTGTTGAAGAAACTCCTGAAACAGTTAATATAACTCAAATAAAGACAGAGACAGGCGATATTAAAGAAGTAAAAACAACGAAGAGAGTAATAAAGAAGAAAAAAGGTACTGCAAAAGAAGTAACGGAGATAATTACAACGGAAAAAGAAGGAGAAAGTCCAATAACAATTGTAAGCGTTACAGAAGAAAAACTTCCTGAAGATACAAAAGAAGAACCAATAAACATTATTGAACTGCCGGAAGAAACAATAATTACAGAAATAAAAACACCAGAGGGCAAATTTAAAACGAAGAAAATTTCGAAACGAGTCATTAAAAAGAAAGTCGGGCCTAAATTGGAAACAACAGAGATCCTCACTGAACAACAAGGAAACGAGGAACCAATCATTTCTGTAAGTAAGATGGAGGAACTTGTTGAGGAAGAAACTATACCATTCACTATATCAGAAACAGTAGACTCAGCTAAAGTATTCGAAGAGATTCCAGAAACCGTCCAAGTTACCCAAGTGCGTACTGAAGAAGGTGACATTAAAACCATTAAAACAACCAGAAGAGTAATAAAGAAGAAAAAAGGACCCAAGCAAGAAATAACCGAGATAACGACTATTGAAAAAGAAGATGAGGCCCCAATAACAACTGTTAGTGTGACAGAAAAAGATGACGTACCGATAACGCCGATAGAAACGATTGAACTACCGGAAGAAACTTATGTTGAAGAAACGAAAACTCCGGAGGGCATGATTAAACAGAAGAAGATAACCAAGCGTACTATCAAAAAGAAAGTCGGTCCTAAAATCGAAACAACTCAGATTCTCTCTGAACAAGAAGACGAAATGAAAGAACCAATTATTTCTGTACATAAAACAGAGGAAGTATTAGATGATGTTACTACACCACTCGCAGTCGCACCATATGATACTGACAAAGCTAGAATAATCGAAGAAGTACCTGAAGAGGTAAAAGTTACCCGAGTGCGTACAGAAACAGGTGAAACTAAATCTATAAAAACCACAAAACGAGTTATTAAGAAAAAGAAAGGACCGAAGGAAGAAATAACTATTATTACTACTGTAGAAAAAGAAGGAGACACTCCAGTCACCACTGTCACAGTCACCGATAAAGATGATACACTTCCAGAAGTAAAAGCAATGGTAGATACCTTTGAGCTACCAGAGGAAATAACCGTGGAAGAATTTACAACACCTGAAGGTACTACTAAGCTTAAGAAAGTTACAAAACGAACAATAAAGAAAAAAGTGGGTCCTAAAGTGGAAACAACAAACATCTTCACAGAACAAGAAGACGAAACACAAGAACCAGTAATATCTGTTCACAAAACTGAAGAAATCTTAGATGATATAACAAAACCACTTGAGACATTATTGGATCTGCCCCACGAGGTTAAAGTTGTCGAAGAAGTGCCCGAAGAAGTTCAAGTTACACAAGTAAAGACGAAATTCGGTGAAACTAAATCGGTGAAAACTACAAAGCGGGTAATCAAAAAGAAAAAGGGACCCAAGGAAGAGGTTACTGAAATTACTACTATTGAAAAAGATGGCGAATCACCAATAACTACTGTACATGTTACGGAGATAGAGGATCAAAAACCAACAGAGACAATAGAATTGCCAGAAGAGACCTCTGTGGAAGAATATAATACACCAGAAGGTGAAACTAAACATAAGAAAGTAACTAAACGTACAATTAAAAAGAAAAAGGGTCCTAAAATCGAAACAACACAAATAGTTACCGAGGAATGCGATGATAATGAGGAACCTATCATTTCGGTACACAAAACGGAAGAAATTATTGACGATATTACTACACCATTCGAAAGAATATTAGTTGAACCTGATAAAGCTAGAATCGTGGAAGAAATTCCTGAAGACGTCAAAGTTACACAAGTAAGAACAGAAACCGGTGAAACAAAGTCAGTGAAAACTACTAAACGTGTACTCAAGAAGAAGAAAGGACCAAAGGAAGAAACTACTGAAATTACTACTATTGAAACAGAAGGAGAAAAGCCTGTTACAACTGTATTCGTAACTGAAAAGGAAGATTTTCCTAGAGAAGATACGATTCCAACACAGATCGTTGAATTACCAGAGGAAATCTCTGTTGAAGAATACAAAACTCCGGATGGAATTACTAAGCAGAAGAAAGTAATTAAGCGCACAATTAAGAAAAAACTGGGACCTAAAGTAGAAACAACAGAAATTGTTACTGAACATGACGACGAGGCTAAAGAACCGACTATTTGTGTACATAAGACTGAAGAAATTGTAGAGGACGCAACAGTCCCGTTAGAACAAATGTTAAGCGAACCTGATGAAGCCAGGATTGTAGAGGAAGTGCCCGAGGATGTAAAAGTTGAGCAAGTACGAACAGAAACAGGAGAGATTAAGTCTGTAAAAACTATTAAACGCGTAATCAAGAAAAAGAAAGGACCAAAAGAAATTGTAACTGAAATTGTAACCATCCATGCAGACGGAGATGTTCCAGTTACTACGGTAAGTGTAACCGAGAAAGACGAGACTCCTAAAGAGGACTCCACTCCGACAGAAATTATTGAACTACCAGAACAGACTGTTATTGAAGAATTTCAATCTCCGGAAGGTGTGATTAAACAAAAGAAAACTGTGAAACGTGTAATCAAAAAGAAAGTTGGTCCTAAACTTGAAACAACGCAAATAATCACAGAACATGATGATGAAAGTAAGGAACCAGTTATTTCTGTACTACGCACAGAAGATATATTAGAAGATGCTGCTATCCCACTGGAGCAATTGGTTGAAACATTTGACGTAGCTAAGACTATTAAAGATGTACCAGAAGATCTCAAAATTACGCAAGTGCATCCGCTAATAGATCAATCAAAGACTACCAAAACAACAAGGCGAATTATCAAGAAAAAGAAGGAGCCAAAGGAAAAAGTTACTGAAATTACTGTAGCGGAAGCAGAAGATGATAAGCCTGTCACAATAGAGGATATTACTGAAAAGGATGAAACCCCTGAAGAAAATATTAAGCGAACAGATATAATAGAACTCCCAGAAGAAATCATTATAGAACCATATATAACTCCAGAAGGTGAAACTAAGCAAAAGAAGGTGACTAAACGCACTATTAAAAAGAAAGTAGGACCCAAACTGGAAACTACACAAATTGTTACAGAACAAAAAGATGGTACTGAAGCTCCCATTGTTTCAGTACATAAAATAGAAGAGATAATCGATGATGCTGCTGAGCCATTTGAAAGACTATTAGATGAACCAGATTCAGCTAGAATAATAGACGAAGTGCCTGAAGAAGTTAAAGTCACGCAAATCCGTACAGAAGCCGGTGAAACAAAGTCAGTGAAGACTACAAAACGTATTATTAAAAAGAAGAAAGGTCCTAAAGAAGAAGTTACCGAAATTACAACACTGAAACAAGATGGAGAATCACCTATTACTACGGTATATGTGACTGAGAAGGATGATACTCCAAGAGAAGATACAAAGCCAATAGAATCAATCGAGTTACCTGAAGAAACTTTTGTTGAAGAGTACAAAACTCCTGAAGGTGATATTAAACAAAAGAAAGTAACTAAACGTATTATCAAAAAGAAAATAGGTCCTAAAATTGAAACGACACAAATTATCACTCAAGATGACGAAGAAGAAAAACAACCCATTATTTCGGTACAGAAAACAGAAGAAATAATTGATGAGAGCATTGAACCTTTTGAAACAATATTAAATGAACTTGATACAGCTAAAATTGTAGAAGAAGTACCCGAAGATGTAAAAATTACGCACGTTCAGACTAAATCTGGTGAAACAAAAGCCATTAAAACAACAAAACGAGTCATCAAAAAGAAGAAGGGTCCAAAAGAAGAAGTTACAGAAATCACTACCATTGAACGGGAAGGAGAAATACCTATAACTACAGTGAACATTATGGAGACTGAAAAACCGAAAGATGAGCATACTTCTCAATTTGTCCCAGAAACTTCAGAAGGTAAGTTGGTAAAGAAGAAAATTGCTAAACGCATTCACGAACAAATGCCGGAAAAAGAGGTCACAAAAATTGTTTGCGAAGAACAGACAACTAAAGAGTCACTCATACACACCACAGAAGACATCTTCGATGACACTACTTTGCCACTCATCACTACACATAAACCAACGAAAGCACATATCATTGAAGAGACACCTGATCAAGTCGAAATATCCATAGTACAAATACATTCAGACAACACAACACCCGCCAAAGTAACTAAAAAACCACTTAAAAAAGAAGATAAATCTCTTGAAGAAAGTTTGCCTAAGAAAGACGAGTCAATAAAAATTGTTGAACTTCCAGAGGAAATAACTATCGAAGAAACTAAAACGCCTGAAGGTAAAACAACATCGAAGACTATCACTAAACGAATCATTAAAAAAACCAAAGGCCCAAAGGTAGAAACTACAGAAATAATTAGTGAAAACATAAATAATGAACAACCAATAGTTACCGTACATACTACAGAAGATATTATAGAAGATACAACTTCACCACTGACACATGCTTTACAGACACCGGATAAAGCAGTTTTCGTAGAAGAAATTCCCGAGAAAGTAGAAGTAACGCAAGTTCGTACTGAAACTGGACAAATAAAATCAGTTAAGAAAACAAAACGAGTTATTATGAAAAATAAAGGCCCTAAAAAGGAAATTACAGAGATCACTACCGTAAAGACTGATGATGAAATGCCGATTACCACTGTGAATGTTGTTACACAAGAAGTTCCAGAAGAGAAAGAAGTATCAGAAACAATAGAAGCGATAGAATTTCCTGAAGAAACTACTATTGAAGCAATTGAATCTTCAGATGGTACACCCAAATCTAAAAAAGTTACAAAACGCGTAATCAAAAAGAAAGTAGGGCCCAAAGTTGAAACAACTGAAATCACCACAGAAGAGGAGGATAACAAAGAACCTCTAATAACTATACACACCGTAGAGGATATCGTTGATGAAGATAGTTCAGTGTTTCCAGAGGAATTATATAAAACTGATAAGGCAGAGGTCGTAGAAGAAATTCCTGAAAAAGTTGAAATTACACAAGTACGAACTGAAACTGGTGAAGTTAAGCCAGTAAAAACTACAAAAAGAGTAATTAAGAAGAAAAAAGGTCCACGTGAAGAAATCACAGAAATTACGAAAACTGAAATTGAAGGCCAAAGTCCGGTTACCACAATAACAGTTAGTAATGAAGAAATACCTGAAGAAGTTTTAGCAGAAAGTGACGTTAAATTGGAAGAGCCTGCAGAACATGTGGAAATTCGAGAGGGTAAGACGAAGAAAATATCTATTAACAAAAACAAAATATCTCCTAAAACACATGAAACTCAACCCACTACCAACGTACAAGACAATCAACAATATACACAAGCTTATACAATAGAAGAAATTCCAGATGACATTTTAGGACAACTAGAACACAAAATTCCTGTAAAGGAAAAGGCAAAAATTTTACACGAATCATTAGAAACTCTCCATATTCAATATTCAGAATATGATACATCAACAAATAAAACTATAATCATAAACGAAGACATCAATTCACCAAAAACCAAAATATCACAAAATACAGAAGCCAAATTTAATAACAAACCAAAGATACACTATAAACACCCCAAAGCCAAAGTAGGGTTGAATACCGATTTGACACATAAAACTCCTGCAAACGAGGACGAAACTCAATTTAATACATATGTACACACAATAGAAGATTATGATTCAGACACTATTACACCGTTTGAAAACACTTCATTCTTACCAGTCAAAGCACACATTACTGAAGAGACCTCTCTTAAAATACACGCAACACAGGTTCAAGTCCCATTTAATCAAATTATTGAAACGCCAAACAAATCAGAAAGTATTACTATAAAATCCACATCAAGATGTGGTAAATACATAACAAAATTACCATCAGACGATGTTAATGTTATGGTTTCAAAACCTGCTGAGGAAATATCACAACATAATACAGATCTTGCTGATGAAACTCTATTAACTGAAGATGAAAAGGCAAAGAGCAAACTTAAAACGAAGAAAATTTCGAAACGAGTCATTAAAAAGAAAGTCGGGCCTAAATTGGAAACAACAGAGATCCTCACTGAACAACAAGGAAACGAGGAACCAATCATTTCTGTAAGTAAGATGGAGGAACTTGTTGAGGAAGAAACTATACCATTCACTATATCAGAAACAGTAGACTCAGCTAAAGTATTCGAAGAGATTCCAGAAACCGTCCAAGTTACCCAAGTGCGTACTGAAGAAGGTGACATTAAAACCATTAAAACAACCAGAAGAGTAATAAAGAAGAAAAAAGGACCCAAGCAAGAAATAACCGAGATAACGACTATTGAAAAAGAAGATGAGGCCCCAATAACAACTGTTAGTGTGACAGAAAAAGATGACGTACCGATAACGCCGATAGAAACGATTGAACTACCGGAAGAAACTTATGTTGAAGAAACGAAAACTCCGGAGGGCATGATTAAACAGAAGAAGATAACCAAGCGTACTATCAAAAAGAAAGTCGGTCCTAAAATCGAAACAACTCAGATTCTCTCTGAACAAGAAGACGAAATGAAAGAACCAATTATTTCTGTACATAAAACAGAGGAAGTATTAGATGATGTTACTACACCACTCGCAGTCGCACCATATGATACTGACAAAGCTAGAATAATCGAAGAAGTACCTGAAGAGGTAAAAGTTACCCGAGTGCGTACAGAAACAGGTGAAACTAAATCTATAAAAACCACAAAACGAGTTATTAAGAAAAAGAAAGGACCGAAGGAAGAAATAACTATTATTACTACTGTAGAAAAAGAAGGAGACACTCCAGTCACCACTGTCACAGTCACCGATAAAGATGATACACTTCCAGAAGTAAAAGCAATGGTAGATACCTTTGAGCTACCAGAGGAAATAACCGTGGAAGAATTTACAACACCTGAAGGTACTACTAAGCTTAAGAAAGTTACAAAACGAACAATAAAGAAAAAAGTGGGTCCTAAAGTGGAAACAACAAACATCTTCACAGAACAAGAAGACGAAACACAAGAACCAGTAATATCTGTTCACAAAACTGAAGAAATCTTAGATGATATAACAAAACCACTTGAGACATTATTGGATCTGCCCCACGAGGTTAAAGTTGTCGAAGAAGTGCCCGAAGAAGTTCAAGTTACACAAGTAAAGACGAAATTCGGTGAAACTAAATCGGTGAAAACTACAAAGCGGGTAATCAAAAAGAAAAAGGGACCCAAGGAAGAGGTTACTGAAATTACTACTATTGAAAAAGATGGCGAATCACCAATAACTACTGTACATGTTACGGAGATAGAGGATCAAAAACCAACAGAGACAATAGAATTGCCAGAAGAGACCTCTGTGGAAGAATATAATACACCAGAAGGTGAAACTAAACATAAGAAAGTAACTAAACGTACAATTAAAAAGAAAAAGGGTCCTAAAATCGAAACAACACAAATAGTTACCGAGGAATGCGATGATAATGAGGAACCTATCATTTCGGTACACAAAACGGAAGAAATTATTGACGATATTACTACACCATTCGAAAGAATATTAGTTGAACCTGATAAAGCTAGAATCGTGGAAGAAATTCCTGAAGACGTCAAAGTTACACAAGTAAGAACAGAAACCGGTGAAACGAAGTCAGTGAAAACTACTAAACGTGTACTCAAGAAGAAGAAAGGACCAAAGGAAGAAACTACTGAAATTACTACTATTGAAACAGAAGGAGAAAAGCCTGTTACAACTGTATTCGTAACTGAAAAGGAAGATTTTCCTAGAGAAGATACGATTCCAACACAGATCGTTGAATTACCAGAGGAAATCTCTGTTGAAGAATACAAAACTCCGGATGGAATTACTAAGCAGAAGAAAGTAATTAAGCGCACAATTAAGAAAAAACTGGGACCTAAAGTAGAAACAACAGAAATTGTTACTGAACATGACGACGAGGCTAAAGAACCGACTATTTGTGTACATAAGACTGAAGAAATTGTAGAGGACGCAACAGTCCCGTTAGAACAAATGTTAAGCGAACCTGATGAAGCCAGGATTGTAGAGGAAGTGCCCGAGGATGTAAAAGTTGAGCAAGTACGAACAGAAACAGGAGAGATTAAGTCTGTAAAAACTATTAAACGCGTAATCAAGAAAAAGAAAGGACCAAAAGAAATTGTAACTGAAATTGTAACCATCCATGCAGACGGAGATGTTCCAGTTACTACGGTAAGTGTAACCGAGAAAGACGAGACTCCTAAAGAGGACTCCACTCCGACAGAAATTATTGAACTACCAGAACAGACTGTTATTGAAGAATTTCAATCTCCGGAAGGTGTGATTAAACAAAAGAAAACTGTGAAACGTGTAATCAAAAAGAAAGTTGGTCCTAAACTTGAAACAACGCAAATAATCACAGAACATGATGATGAAAGTAAGGAACCAGTTATTTCTGTACTACGCACAGAAGATATATTAGAAGATGCTGCTATCCCACTGGAGCAATTGGTTGAAACATTTGACGTAGCTAAGACTATTAAAGATGTACCAGAAGATCTCAAAATTACGCAAGTGCATCCGCTAATAGATCAATCAAAGACTACCAAAACAACAAGGCGAATTATCAAGAAAAAGAAGGAGCCAAAGGAAAAAGTTACTGAAATTACTGTAGCGGAAGCAGAAGATGATAAGCCTGTCACAATAGAGGATATTACTGAAAAGGATGAAACCCCTGAAGAAAATATTAAGCGAACAGATATAATAGAACTCCCAGAAGAAATCATTATAGAACCATATATAACTCCAGAAGGTGAAACTAAGCAAAAGAAGGTGACTAAACGCACTATTAAAAAGAAAGTAGGACCCAAACTGGAAACTACACAAATTGTTACAGAACAAAAAGATGGTACTGAAGCTCCCATTGTTTCAGTACATAAAATAGAAGAGATAATCGATGATGCTGCTGAGCCATTTGAAAGACTATTAGATGAACCAGATTCAGCTAGAATAATAGACGAAGTGCCTGAAGAAGTTAAAGTCACGCAAATCCGTACAGAAGCCGGTGAAACAAAGTCAGTGAAGACTACAAAACGTATTATTAAAAAGAAGAAAGGTCCTAAAGAAGAAGTTACCGAAATTACAACACTGAAACAAGATGGAGAATCACCTATTACTACGGTATATGTGACTGAGAAGGATGATACTCCAAGAGAAGATACAAAGCCAATAGAATCAATCGAGTTACCTGAAGAAACTTTTGTTGAAGAGTACAAAACTCCTGAAGGTGATATTAAACAAAAGAAAGTAACTAAACGTATTATCAAAAAGAAAATAGGTCCTAAAATTGAAACGACACAAATTATCACTCAAGATGACGAAGAAGAAAAACAACCCATTATTTCGGTACAGAAAACAGAAGAAATAATTGATGAGAGCATTGAACCTTTTGAAACAATATTAAATGAACTTGATACAGCTAAAATTGTAGAAGAAGTACCCGAAGATGTAAAAATTACGCACGTTCAGACTAAATCTGGTGAAACAAAAGCCATTAAAACAACAAAACGAGTCATCAAAAAGAAGAAGGGTCCAAAAGAAGAAGTTACAGAAATCACTACCATTGAACGGGAAGGAGAAATACCTATAACTACAGTGAACATTATGGAGACTGAAAAACCGAAAGATGAGCATACTTCTCAATTTGTCCCAGAAACTTCAGAAGGTAAGTTGGTAAAGAAGAAAATTGCTAAACGCATTCACGAACAAATGCCGGAAAAAGAGGTCACAAAAATTGTTTGCGAAGAACAGACAACTAAAGAGTCACTCATACACACCACAGAAGACATCTTCGATGACACTACTTTGCCACTCATCACTACACATAAACCAACGAAAGCACATATCATTGAAGAGACACCTGATCAAGTCGAAATATCCATAGTACAAATACATTCAGACAACACAACACCCGCCAAAGTAACTAAAAAACCACTTAAAAAAGAAGATAAATCTCTTGAAGAAAGTTTGCCTAAGAAAGACGAGTCAATAAAAATTGTTGAACTTCCAGAGGAAATAACTATCGAAGAAACTAAAACGCCTGAAGGTAAAACAACATCGAAGACTATCACTAAACGAATCATTAAAAAAACCAAAGGCCCAAAGGTAGAAACTACAGAAATAATTAGTGAAAACATAAATAATGAACAACCAATAGTTACCGTACATACTACAGAAGATATTATAGAAGATACAACTTCACCACTGACACATGCTTTACAGACACCGGATAAAGCAGTTTTCGTAGAAGAAATTCCCGAGAAAGTAGAAGTAACGCAAGTTCGTACTGAAACTGGACAAATAAAATCAGTTAAGAAAACAAAACGAGTTATTATGAAAAATAAAGGCCCTAAAAAGGAAATTACAGAGATCACTACCGTAAAGACTGATGATGAAATGCCGATTACCACTGTGAATGTTGTTACACAAGAAGTTCCAGAAGAGAAAGAAGTATCAGAAACAATAGAAGCGATAGAATTTCCTGAAGAAACTACTATTGAAGCAATTGAATCTTCAGATGGTACACCCAAATCTAAAAAAGTTACAAAACGCGTAATCAAAAAGAAAGTAGGGCCCAAAGTTGAAACAACTGAAATCACCACAGAAGAGGAGGATAACAAAGAACCTCTAATAACTATACACACCGTAGAGGATATCGTTGATGAAGATAGTTCAGTGTTTCCAGAGGAATTATATAAAACTGATAAGGCAGAGGTCGTAGAAGAAATTCCTGAAAAAGTTGAAATTACACAAGTACGAACTGAAACTGGTGAAGTTAAGCCAGTAAAAACTACAAAAAGAGTAATTAAGAAGAAAAAAGGTCCACGTGAAGAAATCACAGAAATTACGAAAACTGAAATTGAAGGCCAAAGTCCGGTTACCACAATAACAGTTAGTAATGAAGAAATACCTGAAGAAGTTTTAGCAGAAAGTGACGTTAAATTGGAAGAGCCTGCAGAACATGTGGAAATTCGAGAGGGTAAGAAGAAAAAAGTAGCAGTTAAACGTATTTTTAAAAACAAAATAGTTTTTAAGATACATAAAATATACACCTTTTACATTATTATATATTATAAACAAAATTTTAGACTTATACACAATTTAACACAAATCACTAATATTTTTTGACACAACTGCAACACGCATTTGTTTTTCCGCTTTTAATCATTTCTTTGGGAATAGTTGAAAATTCTGAAGCATTTCGACATAGTTGAATCTTCTAAAATGATTATTTATTTTAAATACACATAATAATACATAAAAACAGTAGTGAATCTATACTCACAAGTTTCACACGACATATTAAAAACTAGTAATACACAAAAAAGTTGTAAAATTTTTGTATTCATACATGATGTCACATTTAGTTCACAATACGCAAAATTATCAATATGTTTATACTGTAAAATTAATGTCGATACCTTAACTTTTGCAAAATACATTACATATTGTACTTTATACACAATATACATTGTAGATTATGAATACATAGTAGAATATTTACAACGTAGTGAAATCATTACTGTGAAAACATAAGAGAAATTGTTCTCTTATGTTATCTTGTATTGACAAGAGTGTATAATTGTACACTCTAACAAAATATTTACATTGAAATTAAAAAGTTACTAAAGGTATACTACAACCGTACAAACGTAAATTATACGGTTTATTTCCATACAAGACGTTTGGACACACTCGGACAAGTATAACTTGAATATGATGCAATTGTAATTATAGATTGTTTGTACTCATAATATGGATGTTTAGGATATAGGAATAGTGAAACAAAAAACAGTATCTTTTTTAAATACTTTTTATGTATAATCACAATTATTTAAGCTGACAGAATAATGTCTGTCACGTGCAATATTTAACAATAATATTCGTTACTAATAAAAAAAGATTCTCCAAATGAAGACAAATGAAAGACCTTCATTATAGGAGACAAAACGAAAGAATTACTATATAAAAGAAAGTAAAGTTACTAACAAAAAGAAACTCTGACATATAGAAACAACAGGAATACAATAAGGGATATAAATATAAATTGTGTATGTTTAGAAAAAAAAAAAACAAAAACTTTTATTTTTGTACATACTTGTAATATTGAAGAGTAACTCTTCAATATTACGTAAACGAAGTAACAACTCGGTTGAAGTAAAGAAAATAACAAAAAATTGTCTAAATTAAAGTAAAGAAAGGATGGATTAAGAAGACTATAGAAAGAATTTGACGTTAGATAAAGAAACGAGAATGAAAAAGAAGTAAGATGAGATTTTGAAAGAGAGCAACTCTAATAAAAGTACAAGAAAAAAACCTTTAATAACGAATACAAATTTCTAGATGGCGTAACTAAAAAAAAAGGTGTCATGCATAATCAAAAAGTAAGTTTGACCTAAACTTAAACTACATCACTAGTTACAGAACATGAAGATAAAAAAGGATAATATTATTTCTATGCACCACAATTAGAATTATTAATAATAAAATTATTAATTAATTTAGAGATTACCATAATTTCACTGGATCAGTTTGTTAAAAAAATCGATATTACAATATTTTTTTTTGTTCCCTTCGTTTTTTTGCCGACAAACAACTGTGTTTTCATTGTTATATTTCGGTTTGAAAAGTGAAATATGGTAGTAAAATTTCAGTTTGATTGTATAATATAAAAGATGTCAAGAATTACACATTAGAAATACCTTGGGCATCGCAGTATATTCTATGATGTCAGTACTGTTCATGTCTATAGGTAACGGTTATCATTTTCTATCAGGTATATTGTGAGCTTGTTTCCCATTTTAAGTATAATAACAAATATATATATAAACTCAAATGATTCAAACAACAAATAAGCAGAAATAGAAGATAAAACATATCCTGAGAGTTAATGTTACCGAAAAAAATAAAACTATCAAAGAATAAACTAAACAACAAGGAGTAATAAAACACCCAATAGTCTTAATAGAACTAAGCAGATGAAAATAATTACTAAAAAGTATTAGTTAAAATAATTACTAGAATTATTAGTAATGCGCTTAGTTTAAATTGGAAATTATAAAAATTCTTATTGAACAACACATATACTTAAAAATGAAAAAGAGCCTAAAAAGGAAATTACAGAAATTGAAAGAATAGTACGGAGAGGAGAATGGTCTATTACTACTTCATATGTTTGTTATATCAGTATGAAAAATAAAAAATGAAAATGAAAATTAATACGCATAAATCAATAACAATGATTATTAACAAAGAGATAATTAAGGAAGCCTTAATGTAGAAACAGAAATTGTTGATAATAATTTTAGTCCATATGGATTACGCTACTGAAACTACATAGAACATCAATGAAGATACATATTTATTAACATACTTTATAACCACATTGTACAATAGTTTTGATTAAGTCGTTGCTCTTGAACTGTAGAAATCATTCACGTCGAAGAAATAAAAACGACGAAGAAAGACCTTACAAAAAGAGGAAATTACAAAAATGAGAATACAACTACTCTATACGATAATAATAGACACATGGTTGCACTTCATGAATACATTATTAATAATAAGTATAGTATACTACTAATAAGTATATTCTAAAGATCATCAGAACTAAAAAAAGGTGTAAATACACGTAACATAATAAAAAGAAAGAAGATCCCAAAATTGAAACAATTTACTACAGAATAAAAATAAAAAATCTGTTATATACTTGCATAATATAAAAGACATTATGAATAAAATTATTCTAATATTTACAGAGGGATATAATGAACATGACCTGAAAGTGTGCAAAAGATATTTATTATCTTCTGAGGAGTATATACCCCGAAAAGACAAAAATTACACAAAAACAAACAGTATGCAACAAATAAATTACAAACTAATATTTATATTAAAAGTGAATGTACATAAGTATATGAATAAATGAATAAATAAAATTATGAAAAATTCGATGTAAGAAGATAACAGATAATATAACAGATAAAATGACGAAAAATCATTATTTCATTTCTCTATTATTAGAAAATATAGAGGGATCGAAAAGCATTTTGGAAGAATTGCATGTTATAGACTAATTTAATATTTAATAAAGTAACTTTTGTTAACGAAGTAACAAAAAACTACCAACACCACTACTTCTTTTACTGACAGTAAACAAATAACACTATTACACTATCTAAATTACACATCAAACTAAAGTTAACAACTTCTAATCTACTAACAAAAATAAACAACAATACAATATGATTTATAATATTCTAAATAGGATACTAAACAACTATCAACTTTGAAGCAAATATTATTCGATAGAAGACAGGATAAACTAATTATTCTAATTTATACTAATATAAATCTTTCTTTAATATTTGTAATTTTTTCTAAAGTAATTTAAATTATTTAGAAAATAAAGGTAGAAAGCAAAAATTATAAATATTAAAGAAATATGTTTAATAGCTGGAGGCTTATTATGGGTGCTTAATATGTGATCGTTTTACAGATTAACCTGGGCGCCCTTAAAATTACAGAATATATCCTTAATCTGAGAAACCGGTTTGTAATCACGTATCTTAAATCTGTCAAGTTTGTAATAAGCCTCCTATTTAATGTTTCATATACTATATATAAGATTCGAATTCCATAGGTTTTATTTTGTTCGGAACCTAGTTTTATAATACCCAAATAATGTTACAAAACTAGGTACCGATATCTACGTATATTTGAACAAAAATCTTATTAAGTTTACTCAAACGGTTATTAAAATATTTTTGCTTTTATTAATCTTTAGCATATTACTTGAAACTATTAATATAACGACAAGACTTTAGACTATTATTATTAAATGATCGTTAGGTTAATTTATTTGTTAAATATTTCCATATTAAATTTAACAAAAAGTAAAAAAATAAAGTTTAATGAATGCTTTAGTGGAAACAATACGCTATTTTTATTTATTTATTTCATATTTTTAGTATTTTTTTTTTATTAATAATATAAAATAAAAAGCTTAGTATTTTTATTTACTTACAATGGTGATCAAGATATATTTATTTATTATTAGGTGTATTGTTTGATTTTCTCCCAAAACTCCTATATTCAAGTATAAAAGGACGAACTACATATTAAATATAAATAATAAGACACATATCAAAATACTTTTTAAAATAAAATTATTTTTTGTGTTTATTTTCAGTTAATTTTAGCAATAAAATCTGTATTCTTAAATAAATCATGGATCAAATCAATTTAGGTTTACAAATATGAAAGTAATATATTATAAGAGATATTTTTTTATGTCGCTATCTTTTACTTTACAGAAGTGAAAGTAACATATATACGGATGTAAAAATATAAAATACACAATAATGACATTTATGTAATTTACAGATCATTTAGACTTACCTAGTGATACAGAGTCACCGAAGGCACCAACCGAACTAAAACCTCAAGAAAAGAAGCCAAAGAAGATCAAAAAGAAAGGAAAAGAAGATTTGCCAAAAGGTGACGATGAAGAAACAACAGAAAGTAACAAAGTAGATGAAAAAGAACCAGTTATATCAAATGAAATTACAGAAAAGAAGGAACCAAAGAAACTGAAATTAACACCAATGAAAATTGAAAAAATGAAAATTAGTGAAGCTCAACATGCTGAAAATATAGAAAGACCTCAGTTTGCTAAATTAAAATTGAAGAAACCAGTACCAAAACCAAAACAAGAACAATCTACAGTTACGTTACCCAAGTTCCAGCTAAAAAGTCGTATCAAATATATTACTGACTGGCCACCACAAGATATAAAGCCTATTATTAGCTTTTTGGGTAGCGTTCGACAAAATGGAGAATTATCTAGAAACATTAAGGAAGCTGCGAAGATTAAAAAGAAACCTATAAAAGTATCTATGCCAGAATTCGAAAAAGCAGAACTAGAGAAACCAGAACAATTTGAATTTTCTCCAGATAAAGAAGAAATTATCTCTGAGGAATCGAAATTAGAAGTTGACGAAAAGGACGACAAGCCCATCACGGAAGAAAAACATATTACAGATATTCCTCATAAACCTTTACAACCAGAAGCCACAGAAACTACTAAAACTAAAACTAAAAAACCAACAGTCACTGAAGATTTACCTGAAGAGAAAATATTAGAACCAAAAACAAAAGAAGAAACAAGTGAAGATATTGTAAATCTTGACGTACAAGATATTAAACCCGAAGAAACTTTAGTGGAATCTAAGGAAATTGTTAAAAAAGTAATAAAGAAAACACCTAAACCAACTGATAAAAAAGATGAACCAATAATTGATAAAGAAGAGCCCATTACTTCAGAAATTGAATCTAAACCTGAGCCCGAAGATAAAATTGAAGTTATAGAAAAGAAACCTAAAAAACGAAAAGATAAACCTATACCAAAAGAATTAAAAGAAGAGACGGATACGGAAAAACCTATAGAAATTATTGATTCAAAACCAGACCAGGAAATTATTGAACAAGAATCTATAAACAAGGAACCGGAAAAAGAAGCTGAAATCATTGAAGAAAAACCGAAACCTGTAAAGAAAATAAAGAAAAAAGTTATTGCAAAAGACATCAAACCACAAATTGAAGAAGATATAACTCCGGAAACTGAAGAAAAAACTGAAGTTATAACAGAACTTCAAGAAGATTTAATATCAAAGGAGGATATTGTATCCGAACCTCTTGTAATTGAAGAAAAGCCTAAAAAAGTAAAAAAGAAAACTGTAAAACCTGAAATAGAAAAATCAGAAGAAAAGCCTGAAGAAAAGCCTGAAGAGAAACCCATATCTGAAGAAGGTCCTAAGGAAATTCCAACTGTAAAAGATAAAAAACCTAAGCCTAAACTAACACCAATTAAGATAGAAAGGAAAGTTCTTGAAATAAGTAAACCACAGCACGCAGAAAGTGTCGAAGGTCCCCAGTTTACTAAACTTAAATTAAAGAAAACTGTCTCTAAACCTAAACAGGAAAGTTCTGTAGTTACTTTACCAAAATTCCAGTTAAAGAGTCGTATCAAATATATAAGAGACTGGCCTCCTCAAATCATACAACCAGTAATAAGCTTCTTAGGAAGTGTGAAACAAAATGGAATATTGTCAAGAAACGTGAAAGAGGCAGCAAAAATTAAGAAAAAAGTATATAAAGAACCCGAATTACCTGAAATAGAAAAAACAGAATTAGAAAAACCCTTGTTTGGATATGAGGATATCATAGAAAGTAAAAAACAAGAAGAATTGCCAAAGGAAGATGTTGAAGAAAGCAAGGATGAAGAACCTGAGCAATTTACTATAAAGCCAAGGCGTCCAAGTGTCAAAAAATCTGAAGAATTAGTAGATGAAGTAACTATAAAAAAGAAGTTAAAACCACTTCGAAAGTCATCAGTGACATTGCCAGAAATAACTGAGCCAGAAAATGTTACGTTTAGACCAAGAAGCACTAAAACAAAAGAAGATGTTGAACAGGAATTTAATATTCAATTAGATTCATATGCGGAAGAAGAAATATCAATGTCTAGTAAAGTGAAATTAAAACCACAAAAGCAACCTACCTTCAACGAAGAAGCCAATGAAACATCTATTCAATTTTATGAAGAAAACGAGGGACCTGATATTGTAGAAATAATAGAAAGTGAAATTGAGGAAGAGGATGAAACGTCAAATATAATGGTACCATTAAAGAAACCAAAAAAAGTAAAGAAAACTTCATCAGAAGACATTACTTCAAACGTAACTATATCTAAACCAAAACGAACTGAAGAAATATCAGAAATAACTGAAGATGTAAATCTTAAATTAGATAAGAAGCCTAAATATGTAATTGATGATCAAGAAGAGGTAACGTTTGATGTGAAATCACAAACAGATCAATATACACAAGAAGAATTGTCACTTTCGAGTAAAATAAAACTCAAACCGAAAAAGAAAGTAACTGTATCAGAGGCTGCCGATGAGGCATCTATACAATTGACACAAGAAATAGAGGATGACAGTCAAGCAGAAGAGATAATTTTAAGCGAAGCCGAGTCAGAGGATAATGTGGAATTCCGTATCAAACGTAAGCCTAAAAAACCTACATACGAGGTCAGTGAAGTGGAAGAGCTTAGTATAGAACTGAAACCTAAAAAGATAAATGACGATACATTTGAGGAAGAGCAATTAACCATTTCAGCCAAACGAAAACCTAGGAAACCCTCACAAATTCAAGGTATATTAATTGTATTTTAATTATATTATAATTGCATCGCACTAACATTATTGAATCGCTTTTGATGATCATCGTTATTACTAAACTCAGGTACATTGTACAACAGTTAATGTAGTTAAATGAAATTTTGTAATTGCTCTACAAATAACTAAAATTAAGGAAACAAGATTGTTTTACTTTTTAATTTTTTTTCCTGTACATTTATTGTTTACGAGCAGATTTTCTATTAATATCGTCTACTTAAATAAATCCATCCCACTCATTTTCCCGCCAAAAAACTGCTTGTAGGGCTGTTTCAGTTTGAAGAGTAAATTATAGTAGTAAAATTACAGAGTATGGAGGCTTAACAAGCCTTAGGAAAGGCAATACATAATAAAATTAATACCATGAGCATTATTACAATGGATTCCATGGCAAGGCGTTCTTTGCCTTTCCATATTACATAAAAAACATGATTATTTTTATTGTAAAAAATTAAAACGTTTATACAATTTTGGCCAGTCAACATGACTAAACTAAAATATACCTATTTGTATTTTTATAAAAATAAAAATAGGAAAGAGAATTCAACATAAATAATAATACTGATCAAATATTTGCAAAAATATAATATAATACTGATTAGAATTACTATAATATAATAATATATTACTATAATTGTATAAAATGTTGATAAAATTATGTTAAGAATGGTGTGTAAGCTTGTAACATCGACAAGAATATTATGCCTACCGACTAATATGGCAGCTTCTTGATTAATGCTATTTAATTAGAATTATTATTAACTAGTATTGTTATCATCAATGTAAACGTTATGCTTCAATAATACAAAGCATGAGTTGGGCAAGTATCAAAGTTTATTTATTATTTCATATACATAATTTCTTTGCTTTTTAATAACTATTATTTTGCTGTTTATTTATTGAAAGGTAAGTTTATGTAATAAATTTGGTGGTGTAATTTTTGCAGTCATTATTTTGTAATGCCAGGTTTTATTATTAGTATTTTAAATGTGAGTAATAAATTTTACAGAAGCCGACGTATCTATGAGCATCTCCAGAGAACAAGAATTTCCAGGTATGATTTATTTTATACTTTAAATTACTAAATTACCTATTTGTGTCATTTAATTTAGTTGAGCTGGGAAAAAAAAGACATTTTCAATTGTTTCCAATACCATGTAATTTTAAAAACTTCTATCAATGCGTTACAGAAACACCTCTGGACGTGCGAAGTGGAGACACAGTTTTTGCTGTATATTCTTACGTAGCCGAAACTGATGAAGCAATAAACCTGGTTGAAGGAGAACGCCTTTATATACTGGGTAAAATATTGATGAAAACTAATTATTTTTAAAATACCGTATCACGATGTTCGTTCATGTCATTCTCCGATATCACTTTTCCAATTTTAATAAATTTTATATATGTGTATTGTTTGTAAGATAAGATTGTAAAAATGACCCTGGTAAATAGCGGGAGGGGCTAAAACAATATTTATCGAGTCAACAAGTCTTATTCTAAAATTTGTATAACTATTATTTTAAATTTTTAGAGATTATAAATAGGTATATGGACTGAGAGATATAAAATAAGTTGCAGGATACATCTTCAGTAATTCTTCTGTATTATATGAAAATAATATTATACCATTTTGTAATAATAATTTTATATAATACTTTTATAGATAGAGGTGACAAATGGACTTTAAATGGTCCAAAACAACAGTAATTTAATACAAATAAGTATATATTTAAGTCTCAATCAATATCAAAATAATTATTTATTCGCTGAACCGTGGTCGACCGTAGCGTGTGATAAACTGCTACAAAACAATATAAATTGTTTTATATTTTCATGACAGAAACTACAAATCAAGACTGGTGGTTTGTTCGCAAACATCTTACTGAAGAAAAGGGATGGGTTCCAGCACAATACCTAATGGACGAAGCAAATTATACTTTATATTTACAAAAGAAACTAAACGAGAAAATTGACAAGCTTCCAGTATTCGAAAGTAAGTTTACTATATACATTGCAAAATTATAGTATTACAGTATGTAAATGATGTCTTTTATTCGAATATACATTTTCAATATTAAGTTTATAATAATTATATCTAAACTTATCTAAACTATATGAAACCTAATTTATTCTTATTTTTATAATTTAGAACCAGCATCAGAGGAAAGGGCTATAGCACCAATATTTGTAGAAAAGTTGCGTCCAAAACATACACCAGACGGATCAACTGTACAATTTGAATGCCAAGTTGAGGGTTACCCAAGACCACAAATTACTTGGTTCAGACAGACAGCTATAATTAAACCTTCTCAAGACTTCCAAATATATTACGATGATGACAATGTAGCTACACTAGTGATTCGTGAAGTATTTCCTGAAGACGCTGGCACTTTTACATGCGTAGCCAAAAATGCTGCAGGTTTTGCTTCTAGTACTACAGAACTTATAGTAGAAGCTCCTCTTTCTGATCATGGCTCTGAAATGACTATTTTATCCAGAAAGAGCCTTTCGAGGGAATCTTCGTTGGCTGATATTTTAGAAGGCATTCCACCTACCTTCTCGAAAAGACCTAAAGCCCAGTATGTTGATGAGGGTTCTCAAATATTCTTGGAATGCAGATTAGTGGCTATTCCAGAACCAGATATTGCTTGGTTCTTCAAAGGTGAAGAAATATTTCCAGATGAAAATATATCTGTAGCCACAGAATCAGACATGCACATGTACTGTAGCGTGCTCAAAATATCAAACGTTAAAAAATATCAAGAAGGTACCTACACTGTCTTAGCCGTCAACAGAGAAGGCGAAGCTAGTTTACCTATAGTATTAAAGATTAAAACTGGACAAAAGGAAAAACCCCAAGTGATTGAACCTTTGAAGAATATGACCATCAGAGAGGGCGAAAGTGTTGTTCTTACAACTCAGGTCGTCGGAAATCCACAACCAACAGTAGCTTGGTATAAAAATAATAAACCAGTTAAATCATTGGCTACAAAATCTGATGGCGAAACTCACACTATTACTATTATAAAACCAAGAAAAAGCAAAGACGATGGTGTATATACTCTCAAGGCCGTAAATTCAGAAGGTTCCACAGAAACTAGTGCAGTCATAACAATAGAAGGTATGTTTATTTCATTACATCATGTCACATTTTATTAATACTTTTAAAATTTTTCGAAAGTCATTTAGTTATCTCTTTTTTAAATTTAATAAGAGGCAATGAAATTGTTAATTATAAAAATTAATATAAATTTACATTATGAATTGCTATGTGGCTACTATTTAAAATGATACTGGATTATTAAAGTTATCCTTATTTGTGTTTGTTAAATAACTAATGTATAAATTATTTTTAATTAACCTGTGTATAATTTTCAGAACCAACAGAAGAAAATGCTGAACCACCGCTATTCATTAATAGATTCCAAGAAATCACTGTTAAAGAGAAAGGTACAATAAAATTGGTAGCGAAGGTAACTGGAAACCCTGTACCTATAATAACATGGTACAGAAATAATGAAATAATTTCGCCCTCAGAAACAGTTACACAAACATACGATGGTGAAAATATTGAATTAATAATAACAAATGTCGATTCTGAAATTGATTCTGGTGATTATAAATGCGTAGCATCAAATAGCGCTGGTAAAGCTTCTCATGGAGCACGTGTAACAATTGACGTAGATAAAGTAACATTCGTCAAAAACTTAAAGAGCTCTTATGAAATTGAAGAAGGGAAAACAGTTGTACTGGAATGTCAAACATCACATACAGTGTCTACAAAATGGTATCATAATGATAAAGAACTCAGTGGTATGGATCACAGAGAAATTATACAAGAAGGACGTACTCACAAGTTGCGTATCAAGAAAACGAAATTAACTGATATTGGATCAATTAAATGCGTTGTAAAAGACCAAGAAACTAGAACTAAATTAACAGTACATGAAACAATACCAGAATTCGTACGTAAGCTACAAGATTTCGAAGTAAAAGAAAGGGATATTGCAATTCTGGAGGTCGAGATAAATTCTGAAACTGCGGATGTATTCTGGGAAAAAGATGGAGAGAGAATCAAACCAAAGAAAAACAAATATGAAGTTGAGAAACGCGGTAATGTGCGTAAGCTATTTATTAGAAATACCTCAGTTCATGATGAAGGTGAATATACTTGTATACTTCGAGATGACTCTTGTACTGCTGAAGTAACCGTTGTCGAGTTACCACCAGAGATAATTTCACGTCTTCAAGACCAATATGTCAGTAAAGGCAACAAAGCAACGTTTGAAATAGAACTTACAAAGGGTGATGCACTTGTACAATGGTTTAAAGATGGGTCAGAAATTCAATTCTCAAATCATATGCAACTAACAATAGACGGAAAGAAACAAAAATTGAAAATATATGATTGTGAAATCTCAGACGCAGGAGAATACGCATGTGAAGTTGGAAGTGACAGATGTACAGCAAAACTTATCGTTGAAGAACCATCCGTTGACTTTACATTGCGGCTTCCAGAGGTTATTGTAGTACCAGCAAATACTGACGCTTACTTAACAGTTGAAATTCCTGACGAAACTATGGATGTCACTTGGTATAAAAAGAAATCAATAATTAAAGATAGTGAAAAGTTCACTCTTATATCGGATGTTACTAAGCGTACACTTATAATTCGAAAATGTACTGAAGAGGACCAAACTGAATACTCATGTGTATTATTGGATGCCAAATGTTCAACCAAATTGAAAGTAGAAGGTAAGATATTTAATGGTAATATTTTTCTAATATTAATTATGATCTGTATTTTATGTATGCTAACATTTAATATTATTTCAGTTTTAGAGTCATCTCCAAGAATTATATCTAGTGATAGTGAATACAGGGTTAAGAGAGGTACTGATGTGACACTACAAGTTCAGTATGATGCCATTCCTCAGCCTAACGATGAATGGGTTGTTAATTCTAAAATTATTAAAAAGTCTAAGCACACGAAACCATCAATTGATTCTAGAACAGCAAGCTTGACAATTAAAAAAGTAGAAAATACCGACGCCGGTATTTACAAACTAAGGCTCGAAAATAACTGCGGAGAAGTAGAAGTAGACATAAATGTAATTGTATTAGGTAAGTACATAATAATAAAATATTTTGTTATATATTATTTAGCTATAGCTTTTAATCTATCGAAATGCATAAATAAATTTTTAATTACTTCATTTCAGATATTCCATCACCTCCTGGAAAACCGAACATTTTAGAAACTGATGATACCTCTGTAAATATTTGCTGGGATGCACCCGAAAGTAATGGTTTCTCAGAAATTGATTGCTACATTGTAGAGTATCAAGAGATAAATACAACAGAGTAAGTTCTATTAACCACATCAAAATTATTATTTTATTATTATTCCTACTCACTGAAAACAAAAATATAAGTAACAACTATAATACCAAATGATTTTGGCAACTTAGCATAATATTCAATCTGGACAACATGTCTTCGAGTATTATTTTTAATAATGGTACTTTATTTCTTTGTTATTTATTTTTCAGGTGGCTGTCTATTGAGAATGTAAGAAAGACTCAATACAGTGTAGAAAACCTAAAAACTAAATCATCATACAGGTTTAGAGTATTCGCCATAAATGAAGTTGGTGTAAGTGAATCTTCGGAAGTCACCGAATTTGTGAGAATTGAAAAGATAACTAAATCTCAACCACCTACCGTTGAAAAACCTTTGAAAGATGTAGTCGGAGAACCAGATGAAGACGTAGAATTAATTTGTATATTTGGTGGCATTCCTCAACCTAAAGTAACTTGGGTCAAAGACGGAAAGAAATTGAAAACTGCTAAAGCTACATATGAAAATAGAGTAGCAACTCTCGTTGTTACTACTACAACAACATCTGAAGGGGAATATAAATGTATAGCTACTAATGAATATGGCGAGGCTGAAACCACTTGTAATGTTGAAGTTCAGCAAAAACCAATTATTAATATATCAGAAAATGAAATCAACCAGAAACTCAGAGTTGGCGACGAATGGTGTGTTACAGCTTACATAAAAGGCATACCTAAACCTGAAATTACTTGGTATAGAAATGGTTCCAAAATTGAAAGGTCATCAGAATTAGAAATAATTACACAAGAGGATTGCAGCATTATTAAAATATCGAACTTAGACAGATCTCATACTAATAAATATACTATCGAAGCTTCCAATAAGGCTGGCTCTAGTTCTGTTGAACTCTCACTAAGAGTATACGGTAAGTCAATGCGTATACCTATTATTATTATAATTAATAGACCTATATCTGATTAAAATAAAACTTAATTTTATGTCTATGTAATGAATACAATTTAGTAAATAGAATTAAATATTCTTATAAAATTGGATTGTTATAAAATACTTTTTCCAAACCCATACATTCATCTATTTATGTAATTCATGATGATGATGTATGTAGAAGAAGTAAATCTAAATTGCTTTTAAAGTGTTAACGCCATAATCTCTGGTTAATAGATAGTTAACTTAAAGTTACACTTGACTAGTTGCGTGGCGCATGAGTAATCATTTACTTTGCATAAATATGATTCCGAATTTTATTTCGTTCAGAGCATTTTAAAAGAGTTAATATAGTTGCATAATGTATTTAAATTTACTTACACTGTTTTTAGTTATTTTTATTTAATATAAATGTATTTAATTATAACTTAAATTACATTATACCATAACATACTTTCAGATAAACCAAGTCGACCAGAAGGTCCAGTGATTATGCGAGAAATTAGCCGGGAATCTGTAACAATCGAATGGAAACCACCCCTTGACGATGGTGGTTTAGAATTGACAAAATACGCTATAGAAAAGCATGAACCAGACACAAACCAATGGATTAAGGTTGCTGACGTAGATAGAGACGTGGAAACGTACTGTATACAACGACTAAATGAGAACTGTGAATACTTATTCCGCGTCATGGCACAAAATCCTATTGGTTTCTCCGAAGCATTAGAAAGTGAACCTATTCTTATTAAGACTGCTTTAGGTGTGTATAAATATTAATATTTCATTGTAGTTTTAATCCATTCGTGTTTCTACCGTGAGGCAGTTGTGTTTCCATGGTTATGTTTCGATTTGAAGGGTGGTATATTGCAGTGAATTTACAGGGTACAAAGGAATAACACCTGAGTCCTCAGGAATGGTAACGCAATCGCATGGGGGGTATCATGGGCGAAACAGTATACACTATTATGTCCATGGTAGTGTTCATGTCTATAGGCGACGATTATCACTTTCCACCAGGTGGGCCGTCAACTTGTCTGCCGTTCTAAGTTGCATTGAAAAAATCTCAATAGCTAACTTCGAATATAAATACAGTAATAAATAAACGTATATTAATTAAACATTTACTTTCAGACGTTCCGTCGCCACCTTTAGGCCCTCTTGGCATATACGGTATCGGCAGCGACTCACTGACTATCACGTGGTATCCATCAGAAAGAAATGGTGGCTCGCCAATTCTGGATTACAGTGTTGAAATTAAACAAGAAGGCAAGAAGTGGAAGCATATAGCAACCGTTACAGAAACGAAAGCAAAAATAGAGAAATTGTCAACCAACACTACCTATCAGTTCAGAATATGTGCTAGAAATGAAATCGGAACAAGTCTACCATACACGTCTGATGAAAAAATAACTATAGGAAAAACACTATGTAAGTAACGTTTATAGTGACACTTATTTGAAAAACATTTGTTATAATAGTGATGATAGTGTTTTCGTTTTAATTAAAGCTTTACGGATATAAATCTATATTAATTAATATTCTTAAATATTTTTTGCCCGCCCCTTTGTATATGTGTGTATCTAAAGCAGGAAAACTAACAAAATAGACTACTTTTATATAGCATATCAAGATACAATATACACTACTTTTTAAATTATATCTTCTGACACACAGCTGTAAAAACCGCATCTAATTTGGTGCGATAGAATTTGCGTGATTCCCGAACAAATATGTATACCCCTGACATTATTGTTCCTTAAATATCTTCCATGTATTCCAGTTACATTTATTAATGTCTATCTATCTATCTACCATATTAGTAAAATAATTTTAATTGTCGTGGGAGGCATAACGCTGTACCTTAATTACATTAATATAGTAAACATGTTACTGTTTAGGTTGCTAAAATTTATTTTCTCATCAAACTTGTACTTGACTGATAAATTTATTTATGATGTTACAGCACCACCTTCCCAGCCACGAAACTTCATTATAAAGGAAATTACATCGAGGTCTGTTACTTTGCAATGGACTGCTCCAGAAAGCGATGGTGGAAGTGTTATTACAAGTAAGACACTTTTTTCTCTTTTGCCTATTTTTCATAATAATAAAGCAAATAAAATATACATATTTACTTGAAATATATAGAAAAATTAAATAAATATTCTCTGATATTTTTCAACGTATGAGTAATATATATATAATATCTTTTAGATTACATAATCGAATACAAGAATGTGAAAGGTAAAAAATGGACCAAAGTAATTACAGTGGGTGGTTCTGTATATGAGCACTGCATTGAAAATATAAAAGAGAAAGATGAGTTAGTGTTTAGAATATCTGCAGAGAATGCAATCGGCGTGAGCTTACCAACAGAGTCCCAGACAGTCAAATTGGAAAAGCATGCAAGTAAGTGGAAGTTCCTCATATAAACCGTACGAGATAAATAATCCAATATGTTGTTTTCATGCACTCGTATTAATTACACTCATTATAAATAAGCTAATAAACTAAATTGCTATCAATTATTGTCAAGGCGCTGTTTAGTTTCTTGAAAATTAAACGTATTTAATTTTTATAAATACACTTAAAGAAGAAATTTCGAAACCGGTAGCTTATATAAATAGTAAAAATATTTCAATAGAGACAGAATTAATAAATAAATATAAGTAATATTAAATAAATTTATTCCGATGACAATATTCTGAACGCCATTAATGGATTTCAGACATTACAAGAGTTTTGCATTCATATAAACATGGCAGGACATGAACACTTTAAAACTGTTATATGGTCAAAATATTACTGTATTTTACAGCGGTACCATCTCCGCCGACGGCCCCGTTGGAAATCAGAACTGTGGGCAACAATATAGTGATGACGTCGTGGGGTACTCCGGAATGGGACGGTGGAGCACCTCTGCTTGGTTACAATATCGCCATTCGTGACGTCACCAAAACCATGTGGATGGAAGTCGGAAAAGTTGACGCGCACACACTCAAGTTTAACATACGCGATCTAAGCGAGAATCATACGTACATGATTAGGATATACGCTCGCAACGAAATTGGTCTCAGTGAACCACTCGAGTCCGACGAACCGTTCAAAGTGGTGCCTGGTGAAGGTAAGCGCCTATTGGCTGTATAAAATATTAATCTATATATATATATAAATTTTCAATTTATCGAACATTATATTAGAAAACAAGAGGGAGACTTTGTACAAGTCGTTTGCTAAAGAACCTCTGCACCACTCCTTTCTGCCGTAAAGTGGCTGTTCTTTCATTCCATTGATTTCCATCAGGTCAACAAAGGTATTTGTGAATAAGCTGAAAGCTCTGTTTGGATCCGGAGATTTTTTGTTTTATGCATGATATTGGAATGATAACCCCATCTGTGCTATCGGTATAGGTTGGGGGGGCACCAGTGAAAAATAATAGGTGAAGATGAAAGCTGGTCAGTTAGCCCATCGTGACGAATTCCACAAGAATTAATCACGATGGCTGCCAGGGAGAACCGCGTGGAGGTCGACCTGATATGGTATATTATTAGCAATAGGACTATTAGACCTTATTACTAATAATAATTTTATCCCGGACCCGGAGTTAGGTATCACATGGATATCTATAGGGAGTGGGCATGGAGTAACAGGCACACTTCACTTGCATTGTTTCTAAAAATACCACGAGGACCTTCATCTGTATAAGCCTTGAGAGTAGGAATATTGATCAAAATATAATAATTTCTATTATAGATTCGCACGCCGACGAGGAGCCTGGCGAACATACGGAGTTGACTGAACCCACTTCATTCAGCACGCAGACCACCACGTCATGGCTCCGCGAGCATAACATGGACGCCGACATCCGTTCATACGCGCGCGGCTCTCTTCTGCGTCGCGACGAATACTTCTTCAGGATATGGCATTATGCCAAACAACTATTTAAATGATGCGACAAAATCACGCACAAACATTTTGACCTGTGATATTTAACGACAAAATTCTTGTTCTAGTTGGCGGATAGCATTAGACATACAGACAGTGCGTCCAATCTCGAACTCTGCTATTTTGTAATTTTATAATACGATTTTTTTTTATATCAAATCATAGTATTTCAAATATTTATTCTAGTTAAGAATTAAATTATTTTATTTATTTAATTTATTGAACAATAAATTCTGATGATGAAGTTTGAATCTCATTCAATAGTTAACGGGAGACGTATTAAATATAGGTGCATAAATATTATTTCGATAAATTGAATGAGGTACGAATAACGTCATCAGATTTTATAAATTGAAAAATTTAATAATACATATGAATAGCAACTGTTTTGTTTGTTTTTATGACCTATAATCAATCATAAAAACCCTCGTTACTAGTTCTTACTTTAAACATAGTATAGTACCTGGGGTCGTTTTAGACTTATTTCAAGAATTTTCAAAACTTTTTACTGAAGCATTCTTTAATTCAGTTGACAGCATTTTAATAATAGGTAAATATACTCACTATGCCAGGTTTCTCTACTTTATTTCCCATTGTGACTAACATATCTGTCTGTTAACAATTCTATAATTTTTTCTGGTACTAATTAATTTCTACTTTGCATATTCTTTATAACCATGCTTCATAAAGGTAATTCCTTTTTTCAGTTATTATCAATATTATTCTATTGTTTTTTTATAGTATGGTATGATTGATACCTAACAGTAGAAATAAAACAAATTTACTATGATATTTGTACAGCTAACAAGCCTGTCAGTTTATTAAATATACCATGAAAATTGTACGAGTAGAAGTTTTGCTAATAAAAAAAGGAGGCGCTATTTTTTTTAAACTTTTTCTGCATATTAACACAAAAAAATATTACGTTAGCTACCGTAAGACGCTTTCGAACGTGGATTCATCAAACATCCGCTGACTTACAGAACTAAAGATGGATACAGACTACTGATTGCAGATAATCAAAATTAGCTGTGCCAACGTTAAATCAACGACTATCAAATCTTTTATTATATCTAGATAGAAAAAACCTTAAAACAATGATAGGAGCAATAACGGGTTATTGCCCGTTAAACAAACATTTATACACAATAGGAGCCACAGACAGCCCGCTATGTCGATGTAAACCTAGAATATGAAGCTGGGGCCCTTCAACATCATCATCACGTCTACCTCCATGCGGTTCCCCCTAGAAACAATCGTTAAACAATTATTAATTCGTCATGATGAGCCAACTAACCTATTTCATTCTCTCCTATCATGAACTCACTGGTGTCCTGCCGGAGGGAAAGGGATTGTTAGAAAATAATTAAATTTAACAGCCCCATTGCCAGTAATACACCTTATTAGGTCGACCTCCACGCGGTTCCTTTAGAAACCAAGATGATTAATTTTTGTTAAAATGGTCACTATGGGCCAACTGACCTGCCTTCATCCTCACTTGTCACCCTTCATTGATGTTCTGCCAGCGTATACTGATAGCGCAGGGATCGCTGTTTCATTTACACACAATAAAAAAATTGCTGACCTAACGATGGAATTATAATTGATTTCTAAAATTAACTGCTTGTATGTTTGGAGTATGTTTACATGCATATTGAAAAAAAAACTCTTAATAATAAGGAATAATAAATAACAAGAACGTTACTTAAGTACTTATTTATTTAATTAAATATCAAAGATCTGATTTACCAGTGATAATAAAATGAATATGTACTACTTAACTCCAATATTCGACAATTCAATGTTATGAGATAAATTGTACTTTTATATTGTAGCTAAAAATTGGCTTACGAATTAACTCGAAAATAACAATTTATATCAAATTGTTGACACTATTTTGGCACTATTACATAAATTAGAATCAACGAACAAACATCTTTATAATCAGTATAAATCTAAACTGAATTACATTAGATGCTTACTGACGATTTCGGCGACCTGCAAAAGAAATTGGCGTCATTATAATTTGATAATTTCGTGAAAAAATACTGTTTATAGACATACATCAACTTATAATAATTTTTATTTAAATCTATTAGGAAATTAGTTCATGTCAGTCTTTACTAAAGATTTCGCTGTAATGTTAAAATTTAATTTTATGCTTCAGAATTAATCCCATTGTCGCTATAATTCATACCCTTAGACAAATAGAAAGAACAAGACTTCTATCATGGCCATCTCGTTCTCTTTTTAACATGCGGTAGCGAAAACATGTCTATCGGAGGTTTAATTTATGTGTAATTTATCTAGAAGGGCTGATGGTAAATAATGGCTACTAACCCTTATCTTTAGCAGACTTTACTTGTTTGTTCTTGTTACATTTCTTTGTGATGCGCCTGCTCTGATCACATGTGGGGTCACTATTCGCTTTCAACATATCAGTCCTTGACATTTCGCCATTGGGACTGCACTCGCTCCATGATGACTTCTCATAGCGGCAGGCTTAAAAATAAACCACAGTATAAGAAAACTAGTAGTAAAACACATAACCACTATTTTGTTTTTTTATTATATACCTACTGCAGTATACCATTGTGCTGAATTCCTGGTGTATTCTCACGATGGGCTAACTGACCTGCCTTTACATTCTCACCTATCATCCATCACTGCTATCCCGCCAATGTATACCGTTAGCGCAGGCGGGGTTACCATCCATTGAAAAAAAACTGCAGTATATGGTCTGCACAATGGTAAGCGATTACATTGTAGATGACATTTATTCCATACATTTTTACTAATATCACAGTCCACTGACAAATAAAAAAATGAGTTCGTACAACGGCTATTAATTAACTAGGCTCTCTCTTAACTATTGGCTATTAACGGCTACTAACTTATTTCAGAGCATTGTATCCCGAATGGCCTGGGGGAAAAGGGATTGTTAGTAATGGGGTCAAATAGTCGACCTGACAAGGTATATTACTAACAATATACCTTGTCAGGTCGACCTCCACCTGGTTCCCCCTGGAAACCATCGTGGCTAATTCCAGTTGAATTCGTCAGGATGGGTTAACTGACCTGCTTTCGTCCTCATCAGTCATCTATCACTGGTGCCCAGCCAGTGTATACCACAAGCGGGGTTACCATACCATTATCACCCATTAAAAATAAAAAATAAAACCAATGGCCTTGTAATCATTTCGGATACGCAAAAAGAGTTAGACTACTTGCACTACGCTAATACCAAAATGAGTTTGGTTAATAACGACTTTCTGGTTTTTATTAATAACTCAACCAATACTTATAATTTTGGTATACACGTAATTTTAGTTTCAATTTTAGTATGGAGAAAACGGTTTTCTCTGATTATACAAACAAAGTTAAACCCTAGATTCAACTAATAAATTTACCAGAGAAAGACTTTGTACAAAAGTCGTTTGCTTGGGTACCTCTATGCCATTCGTGTTTCTACCGTGAAGCAGTTGTGTTTGCATTCGGTTTGAGAGGTGGGATATGGCAGTGAATTTACAGGGTACAGAGGAATAACACCTGAGTCCTCAGGAATAGCAACGCATGGGGGATATCATGGGCAAAACAGTATACTCTGTTATGTCTATGGTACTGCTCATGTCTATAGGCGACGGTTACCACTTTCCATTAGGTGGGCCGTCAGCTTGTTTTCCATTCTCAGTTGTATAAAAAAAATTAAAAAATATATAAAGATATTTAGATGAATATCATGTAACGTTTAAGAAGCGGAACCTATTTGACTATTTTTGCGTTCCAAACAGTTTCTTTAAGATTAGTAGGAGAAAATAAATCTATTGGACTTTAGACGGAACAAAGTTTGCGAGGTCAGGAAATATGTGTGAAATTTGCATTATTAAACAGTAGGTTAATAACACAATAAAAATAATGAACACTCGTACATAAGTAGATAATGTGATGACTAATTAAAATATTAAAATGAGTATATTGAGAAATCTTTGTTTAACATGAAATGATAATGCATAAGAAAACGTGACAAATGAGCAATAGTTCCTTATTATAATTTCAATAAGTATTCATAATTAATACACATTTATGGCAATTAATTAACAATCAATAATGTCTTGTAGACTTATGAAACTGTCAAAAAAAGAAAGCAAGTATACCATAATACTATACTTTAAGTACTAAATATAAATACACACTTTCTCTGTAAATACTTGTTAATAATATATAAAAAAATATCCATACAAAATCGAACAGAAATACTTATTAGTACAAACTGTTTAAATTGTACGAGAATCGAACACGCTATCATCGGAAGTCGAGGAAGTGAGTTAAACAGCTACACCACAAAGGGTTATTGATATTATAAATAATTAGATACAAGTATATCCCACGGCCTCGTCCACGTGAATCAATATATAAAGTATTTTATGTGTATAACCTATCTCTGTTCCACATTTCATTCAATACCCTTCAGTTTTTGAGTGAATAGTAACAAATATATATTCGTACTTTGAGGACATACTTTTGTATTTATAACAGTAGCGAGATAGTACAAGTAAGATACGATAAGATTACCTTTTTTGCATTTCTTTTGTATGGTTTTTGTGGTCTCGCAGCTCTCTGGGTTGCCCTTCTTTAAGGTCAACATCCTGGAGCGGACGTTGGACTTGGAATCACATTCTGACCAGGCACCTCTCACGTAACGGCATGTTTCTGGATCACAAACAAAAGTCGTCGTTACAGCTATAAACTACTTTAATAGAATTTAATGAAAAACAAATGAATAATTAACCCGACCCCAATACAATTTGTTGAAGCAATAGTAGTGCGAATCAAAAATGAATTAATTGGTTTATAAAGAACTTAAACTGTAATTAACGCGACTAGCAGGTCTAATCTTGAATTTAATATCAATATTAATCTAATTTATTGCCAATAACAATTTTATTCTGTGTTCATAAAAAAAAAACAATTAGGAATTAGGTTAGTATTGAGATAGGTTTAGAATAGTTTGCATTAGCAAATTGTACTAATATGCATATATGAAAACAATATGGAGACGAAAAACTACAATTTGATAGTGCAAAATATCTCAATTTCAATTTTGATTATTGGAATTCATTTCAAGAGTAACCCTACATGTTACCATCGAATCAATTGATCGAAAAATCGATACTATATATAATACGGTTTACCTAAATAATAGCGTTACTTGCAGTTTCCTATAAACTATACAACGCGAAAACCGAAAAGTTAATATGGATCAATTGATTGAATATTTCTCTGTTACTAATTTAAAGACTGATTCTATAAAAATTTCAATAAAACTTGTATACGTTTTCAATAAATTACAAATTTTAAACAGACTATAATAATATAAATAAATAGCCGAAGCTGATATTTTTAATGAGATGATAATGGCATGGTAATCCCACCTGTGCTATCGGTATTCACTAGCGGGGTACAAGTGAATGATAATAGGTGAGGATGAACTCTGTTAATTAGCTCATTGTGACAAGTTTATTTATTTATTTAACTCTTTATTGCACCATAAATAAAAATATACAATGACAAGTGAATAATTCAAGTGAAATACAATAACATAAATACAGATTGAAATATACACATAAAGGTACAAAAGGCGGTCCTATCGCTAGGGCAATCTCTTACAGACAACCTTTGGTTAAAGGAGAACAGATAGAAAAGGGCAGTTTACTAGGAATTACCGCAATATTTTTCATGGAGATCACATAGAGTTCGACCTGATAGGATATATTGCTATCAATGGAGCCATTACTACCTATTATTCACAATTATGTACTTCTTTTACACTTAAAGTAAACAAGTCGCAGAACGTTCTTTAATGCTATTTTTTAGTTAATTTACCATATCATATCAGCCGTTAACTGTCCACTGCTAAGCATAGGCCTCCCCTTATTGGGAAAATAAACAAAACCCCCAAATTATTTAATATTTGTCAATAATTTAAAAAAATTAAAAGGAAAGTTAAGTATTAATTACTAATAATGTGCCGGATATCATATATAAAATATAAAATACCCATATCCGTTATTTCTGGTGAATTTAAAACGGATATTTTATCTTATTAAATGTTATTACGTATATAAGATTCCCATTTAAAGATAGTCATTGACTATCTTGATATTTATCCATAATTACACTTCTAAAATTGATATTGTTTGCTACCTACGTAATAATTGGTATTCTAAATATAAAAATGTAATATACGCTCTTCCGTATTATACCAAATTATAAACACAAAAAACTCACACACGTGTTACTAAGCATTAGCTATTGTTTCATGAAGGACAAGAAATCGTCAGTAACAGGGACTGAAGGGTACAATAAAAGGTTGCTTGCAATAGGTTGATTTCCACATAGTTCCCCTTTAGAAACCATAATGGTCAATTCTTAATCTTATGATACCATCACAATATGCCAGAGCTGCTCTCATCCTCGCTTACCATCCCTGACTGGTGCTCCGAAACCTTTCGGTATACAGTACGGAACAGCGCAGAGGAAGTTATCATTCCATTATCATCTGTTAAAAATACTGTCTGACACTGAATAAAAAAGTAGAAATTTGTATCAATATCTGATATCTTCGAATATAAATGTATAATATACACTGTTATCGATTCAACACAGCACTATTAATTATTAATGATCCGGCCGACCCGACTTCATACGGATATATAGATTTTCGAATGTAATATATAGTCTATATTACGCGCTGATAATGTAGCTTTGTGTAAGTAAAAAAATTTTTGAAATAATTTGAATAGTTTTTGAGTTTATCCATTATAAACCAACAATCAAATCTACTCTCTGTATAATATTATATAGATGTAACAGTCCCACAAGAAAAAAAAAACACTTCAAAATGACCTAAAGTTATGACAAAACATATAACAACAATACGAGAGTCAACCCTATGGATTGCAAAAAGTGTTATAAAAATCTGTACGAAATTGGCAAATATACAGCATAGCATAAACAATAAACTTCTTTTTAAAACCACTTTTAAATGTGGTGTCTGCCTATAACGAAAAAAAACATGTAAAGAAAATTAGACAAACTAATATATAACACTTTAAATAATAAATATTTTCTTTAATTTTTTTATCATATGATTCATATTTGGTAGGTATTCTTTTGAATACAAGATTTAACAGTCTCTGATTTTCAAATGAGTTGCGTATGAAAGCTCTGCCTTAGGTTCCAGGAATGTCTCCTGCCATGCCACTATATTAGGATTAAAAATAATACAGCTGCATTAGCCGCGTCCGTAGTAGCTAATGCAACTTTATTATTTTTATTTCTAAAAATATCACGTTTGAGTAATTTGAGACACTGAATTCCCAGAATGTATGTAAGTACATGGAAGGGAAACTTTCAAATATAAACACTATATGTAGATTAAAATACTGTATTTAATGACTCTTCATTGAATGACGTGTCTGGCATAGAATAGGCCTTCCCTTCCCGTGGATATCGCAAGAGGCAACAAAGAGAATTTAATGGTCGAGAGAAAAAACCCTTCAGAGCTTATATAATTCGTTAAAACGTGTAAATAACCCATGCAAAGAATAGTCCCAAAATGTAAAGTCAAAGAATAATATTTCCAGTTGCACCGGGAAACGTTCGATGTGGTGTCCCAAAATACATACCTCTATTTTTAGCTCCCCTCTCACTCCGGACAAGGACTTCGTGGTCGCCTTCTTCCCAAACCTCGCCGTCAGCGGACACGACGGCGACAGACAGCAGAATCAGCCCCGCACCCAACCACCACCAATGTTTGTTCTACAAAGAAGAATAACATAAATCTTGTGAACCACTAAAATATTTATGTACAAGTAACTATTATATTTTATTTCTGTAAAAAAGCGTCTCCGAGCGACGGGATGTTCCGTAAAGACATTTTAAATATTTGAATTTAGAACGCGGAATCATTTGTCTACAAGTTGATTTTCTTTCGTTATAAGTAAATTTTTAATAAGAAATAATGGCAGCTACAATCGTTACTAAATTAATATGAAGCTATACCTAAATATAAGTAAACGTTTTTGTAAGAGTAGAATCTTAGATTATATAGAGTGTCTTCATATAAATACTTTGAGAAAAGCGGGTAAATTTTTTCATACAATTAAAATAATTAAATATAGATACATTAAAGTACATCACGTATATCCAACTCATTAGAGTAAGGCAGAATAGTAGAATAAAATATGCAAAATATATTGTTATATATATATATATATATATATATATATAACTGGTTATTATGTGCTTTCTATAAATATTTTAAATACACCCACAGGAAAGGAAGGGGTGGCGTATTCTATGCCGGTACCGCAAAGCCATTTTTTTTATATTTTTCAATTGTTAAACAACAATTATGCATTTATTTTGTCGAGTGCCGATATTTTACAAAACTTACTATAGTCTATAGCTTTAGGACTTTACAATGTTAAGGGTTCGAGCGAAACTTATTGTTACGTGTAATAACAAGGACAATATTTTAACAACAATAGGGTCCTAACTTCGGTCCGTCAAAGGCTCCTATACAAAATAAAATATCTATTTGGAATTCACTCATAATATGTAAATTGCTCAAAAAGTGCGTAGATAGGTATCAAAAGCGCAGAACTTCATGAGGGCATTATGACAAGTAAGTTGGGACAAAATTAATATTTTGTTCTAGTAGAACAAAAATGTATGTAAGGATATATTTATATACTAGCTTGCTAGCTATAATAGCTAGCTTTATACACTACTTTACTCGCATGGATAAGTACATAAAATATCCTATACGCTTATATGTTGGGATATAATCTACCTATATCTACCGTGTACCGAATCTCTTCTAAGCAGTTTTTGACAGTGAAAGAGTAATAAATATCCATCCATCGTTTAATAGCATTTTATATGTGATTTTTTAGAATAATATAATTTAATTATTTATGAACCGATTGGAATAAAACAAACAATTTATTACTTATTTAACGTATCGAAATAGGTTAATCCCTTTCTGAGATTACCGTACACAAATGTACAGACAAACAGAATTCTAAAAATCATTGTTTTAGGTTCCACTGCGTTCATAAAGCCTAATAGTATTTCTTATATATCTTCCAGATACAAACAACAATCTGTTACGATTTTTTTTATTATAGAAATGAAGTTTTTAGAAATGTTCTCAACAACATAGACTATATTCCTACAACAATAGACCGGGATTCTATCCGTCAGTAAATTGTGAACAAAATGCAATATCAATTTGAGATTCACTCACGATATGTAGTATTTTGTCCCAATAAAGTAATTGTTGAAAGTTATAAATATGAACATCATGTATATCAAGTAATATGTACCTAATCATCGTTAACCGTCTACTGCTAAACACAGACCTCCCCCATAGACTGTCATAAGAAACGGCCCCAAGCCACTTGCATCCACTGACTCCCTGCAATGCACTTGAGCTTGTCGCTTCATCTAGTGGGGGGTCGCCATGTCTGCATATGTCTATACAGGATCTCCACTCAAGAACCTTTTTTCCTTATCGATCGTCAGTTCTATTTCATCAGCCCATTGCCACATCAGCTTATTTATCCTTCGAGCTATGTGGGATATTGGATATTCTGAGGCTTATTTCAAATTCTATCACGCAAAGAAACTTCGAGCATAGTTCTCTCCGTAACTCGGTGAGTAACTTAAAACTTTTGCATACGGCCAACCATGTAAAAGCATGTTTCGGTTCTATAGATCATCACTGGCACACACACGCTGATTAAAGACCCTCGTCTTCAAAATCTCAGGTGTTTTAGATGAGAATGTAAACTACACCACATATGGTGTAGTTTACATTTTAAATTAGTATAAATTTTAGTCTTTCATCTTAAGACCTATATTTTGAGACGCACTATTGAGTATATTGAGTATAGTATAGAGTAGTCATTGAGTATAGTATTCAATCCTCCAGAGATTTCGCCATGATTACTATGTCATCGACAAATCGAAAGTGAGTAGTGTATTCACCATTGATGTTTATTCCATGTCCTATCCAGTCTAGGAGTTTGAACACATTTTCCAATGGAACTATCAAGAACTTCGTGGATATGATATCACCTTGTTTTACACTTTTCTGCACTAGTATGGGTTTGGTACCCTAGTTTTGTACTCGGATAGACATCGTAGCCTTACTGTACATACTCTTCAGCACTTCGATATACCTACAGTCAATCTGGCACCGCTGGAGGGATTATAGTACCGCCCATGTCTCGACCGAATCAAAGGCTTTCGCATAATTCAAAAACACCAGCCGTAATGGCAGATTATACTCTTCGGTCTTCTCTTATAATATGTCGTAGCCTATGTATATGATCCATAGTACTAAAGCCGTTTCGGAAACTAGCTTGTTCAGGTGGCTGGAAGCCGTCGAGTTTACGCGTAAATTGGTTAGGTCTCCCAAAAACAGTGCGTGGATGGGGTTTAAAAGGAATATCCGTCTTTAGTTGTACAATAGAATATTGTCACTCTTTTTGAAGAACATAAATAAAATATAGAGATATTTTATAGTTATAAAACGAATGTGTATATGCAGTCATTGTACTAAAATTTAAATATTTTATTTAAATCCTAATATTTTTTTGGTTTTAAACTTGCTTTAAAAGGGTGACCAAACCTAGCAAGAGATATATGCTCATAATACGTATATGGTGAGCATATATTTAATCTTTACAAATAAGGATCACGAGTATATAAATATAAATATATAAATAAATATGACAATAAATAATATGTAATTGTAATGAAACGAATATAGATATATTTCTTTTATTGGAGAAATAATTAGAATGAGTATTCAAAAAATCTAATATAAAAAATAATAAAAAAAAATCTTACGAAACATCCCTAATTATTATTTGTTTTCATTGATCCTCAATTAAAATCTTATAATACTTTTTATATTACTTAAAATTTAAAATATTTCCAATGACCTAAATAAACAAATTAATAATCTTTTATAAATAAATATTTCCAGGACGTGCTTCATTATCAGTAAAACCACTTTACACAAGACAAATATCCTTAATGTTATTAATGAAATAATTATAGTAATTATATTTATAAATAATTTTATTTATTTAGGCCAGTATTTATGTGTTTAGTGGGCAGTTAGTATTGAAAACTCTATAAATATCAAGTCAAGGAAAACCACTGTAGTAGTTAATAACTTGGACTCGATATAATTATATAAATAACATAAAAAATATATAATTGCTAACACAAAAATAAAAAATATAAATAAATCAACAAGTGCATACCTATATAATCGCATCGCAAAATAATTCGCTTCAGCATTCAACGTGAAAGTATTTTCTTTCATAATACAATTGTATTCGCAGAAAGCTGTGATTAAAACGCAACGTTAATCCCTTTCAATTATGTCGGCGTGTCTTATAATGGTCAGCGTTTAGCTTTGTCCAAATGCGGTACCGAATTCAATTTTCGGTTGGCGCATATTGCTCAGAGTTGAGTATCTGATTATACTTCCAAACAGTCGTATGATTTCTCATATCACAGGATATCCTAACTTGAACACCAAGCAATTGCTGTATAAATTGTGATCCATTTTAAATCTCTATTTAGTAGTAGGTATATTGTGAATATGAAACTCAGTTTGTATGTTTGTTTTTTTTAATGGGTGAAAATGCAATGGTAACCCTGCCTGCACTGTCGTTACATAAAAATGAGATAGGTGAGGACGAAAGCAAGACAGTGGTCCATAGTGTTAAATTCGACAAGAATTAACCATACAATGCTTTCTATACATATAGCTTGCAATGGGGCCGCTAGTCCCCATTACAAACAATCCCTTCTCCCTTTTTGCATGTTATCTTATGGCGTCAGCGACTGAACTAACCGGCATTACATTTGATATACACGGAATAGGTATCCATTCTTCTACGTATTGGATGACAAAAAGTAATCTATAAAAACCTTATTTATAAAAACATCAAACCTCTCATAAACCTATTTAAGATATTGTAAAGTTTTCTCTCTTTCTTTTGTGCTAAATTCCCTGTTTGAAAGAAAGTGACAAAAGAATGTAACAGTTAAAATAGGTTTGTAGAAAAGGTTTCAGTTTTTATAAATGAGAGAGATTGCCTACTTTTTATGCCAGTTAAACAATGTATCCCATTCGCTAAATATACTTTGGTTGTTGTAAAAACTAATATCATTGTAAAATAAAATACCAATGACAGCATTTAAAATTTAATAAGTTGCGAAAATACAAACTATGTTTATAAAACGCGCATCAATTTAGTCATGTCTATTCGCAAATATATCTTGCTATTTGGTTCCTAACAGGTCATTCCCGCGTTTAATGCCTAAATCGATCTCCATACAAAACATTTATAAATAGCATATAATCTTAACATGTCGCGGAATACTATTTTATAATATCACGTTTGCTGCTGTACTTATGGATCATAACATAATGATTTGTGGAAGACAGTGACCAGTCAATTACTCTGTTGTGATGAACTCACCAAGTATCCATTTCTAATTATAACTAAACAAGTCACTTATGCGCAGTCACACCGTGTTATTAGCGTTTATTTATGTCCTATCAAATAACTCACTTATATGGACATATTTTATCTGTGTATAAATGAAAATATATATTATATATTTCTATTATAAAAGTAATTTAGATAAGTGTATGATAGAAGCTGCGGGTTCATATCCCGTAACGATACGAAATTTTTTCAATAACACAATAGATTATTGAAATATAATTTTCATATTTCAATAATATTGTTATAACAATTTTAAATAAATAAGCAATAATAATAAATGCAATAAATAAATTGTAAAGTATCCAATCATAAATAAATGTTTTGTTATAAGTAATTTTGTTTACAATTGGTTTTAAATATTATTTCATAATAGTAATTAAAAATAATTTAATAATTTTACAATGGCGAAATTCATGGAAAGATCGTTATTGTATTAGACAAATGCTATAAAACTGTATTAGGGTTAAGACCGTAGGGCAAATCATAAATGTTTTGTTGTTGAATAACGTAAAATCTGTAATAACATCGTTGTAATAAATATAAGTTTTATGGATTATTTATATGTGTTTATATACACATAAATATGTCAACATATCTATAATAAGACACAATATCGGATGGGATAGAGTGAGATGAGATAAATTGCATAAATTGCGCAAACATGTTTAATATTTTCTCTCAAAACACGATAAACCCAGAACACGAACACAGAAACAAAATTTGAATCCCACCCTGTGATTGTGGTAAAGTACTGCGCACTAACTTATTTATATATTATAGAACTTAAATCAAAACGCATCACCATTTATACAGCCTGCAGCTAGACGAGAAAATAATCACTTCAGTATACAAGTGCGGAAATAAAATCCCACCTAAATAAGTAAATACTTAATTTACAAAAAAGACTGTTTATTTAATAATAAAACACGTCACGTTAAGAAATAAAAAGAAAAATAAATTTATATTTAAAAAGTTCAACAGCACGTACTTAATACAGTATTTTTATCGATTTTTACAAAACAAAACTTAAATATCCGCTCCAAAACTTCGCTCAATAAAACGTAAGAAACTAAGACCGCTGAAGTAAATCGTAAATATATCACCGTGTTTTAATATAAAATAAATAAGTCCAAATAGTTGAAACTTACCTCCATTTCGTGAGTTCGCAGTTTAATCGTGGTGGATGAACCGAGGCGTCCGCGTCGGTCTAACGAGTGGCCTCAGAGTGGCGGGCTGGGGACGGGGGTCGGGGATCGGCAGTTCGGGAGAGGCAGGACGCTCGCCTATTGATCCGCCTGCACCAGCCACTATACTCGGTCCTGTACGCATATCGCCCCGGCTCCCCTCCACCCACACCCCGATCTCTCTATCTGCGGCTAGGCTAGATTTATTGCTTTTTCCGCGATTGACCGGATTTCCTGCTAAACGTAGCGATGTCAGATTTCTTACAGAATGTAGGTACTCGCCAATTAGCTCGTAATTTTTCTTCTGTTGAAACAATTCTGTTTATGCTAATTGTTTAATCTACTAAGTAGGTTTATAACTAGTTGCAGTCGTAACGTGTTTAACATAGCAATTTTTATATTTTCACATGAGAATGATATATTTCACCGCAGCTAAATTAAAAAAAAATCTAAATAATATCCCATATGGTAAGCTACACAAAATTTCATTAAAATCATCCAGTAGTTTTTGCGGGATGCGTGCACAGACACGGCCCAGTTACTGTGCCGGATTTCCTTCTAAACGTAGCGATGTCGTATTTCTTATAGAATGTATTCGCAAATTAGGTAACTTGGAAATTTATTTCGTCATAACAGATCGTTTTATTTTATTTATTAATATATTTGATAAAGTATGAAATTAATTGTTTTTATTTTTATTTTAATAGACTTCTTGTACCTAAAATTAAAATTACTTCGGAAATAAGTAGTCGGTGTTATTTATTTTTTATTGAAGCGATGGACTAGCCTCATATGACAAAAGCAAAATGTTATCAATTAGAATGTGGGTTATGTCTGTATTTCCATGATTTATAAATTACCTTTACGCAAAAAGTCACTTTTGTCTGAAATGGATGAAAAAGCGATCGCTTTATCCATTTTTAATGATCAATGTTTATATCTTAAGATTATTATAATATAAGTAGCGCAATTAATTGACTAGTCATCTGCACGTACGTCCCATCCTATTTCTGCTGTAAAGATATACTTTCATGACTGTTTTCCGGAGGACTGTTTCACGGAGGCATAATATCTTAGATTTCAAAAATGGCAACACTTGAGGAAAATTATGGTTGTCATTATTACCATAGATGTAAGAGATACTAAATCAATTATGTTTTTCTACCAATCTTTGTACTAAATACTTATTTCTGGTTGTTCTATAATATAGCATTTAGTGACATAAATATTTGAAGCGTATTATGTGGGCAAGGGATGGGTAGCAGCGTCCCTCTTAAAACATCTCTAAAAACCTAACTGCGGTTGCCATCCCACCTGCCAATCGTGGCATCTAATAGCAAAACTCACCTTATGGGGAAAACTTATGTCCAGCAGCAGACAATTAACGACTGAAATAATAATAATAAAATATGAAAAATGTGCAATTTTGTTGATCTCTATTCTAAATTTTGTTATATACAGGCACTTAATTCTAAGCAATTGCATTCATTTAAAACTAATTTCACTTCAAAGTATTAAAATAATTACAACTTATACAGTATCCCTCTGGTATCAAACCAGAGGGATACTGTACAAAAGTCGACTGCTAGGGTACCTCTGTCCCATTCGTGTTTCAACCGTGAAGCAGTTGTGTTCGCATGGCTGTGTTTCGGTTTGGGTGGTATATAACGTGAATTTACTGGGTACAGAGGAATAACACCTGAGTCCTCAAGAATGGCAACGCATGGGGGGTATCATGGGTAAAAATATATATGTTTTATAATCTAAGGTCTATCCTGTAAAGTCCATGATGCCGTTCATGTTTAAAGACGACGGTTGCCACTTCCATCGGGTTGGCCATCAGCTTGTATATCATTCTAAGCATCATAAAAAAATCCCAAAAAAATATGTTTACCGACGATTTCGCAAGCAAATATCTACTTCTACGGAATGTGTATTTATCACAAATACAAATTCCAATTTTTTGTATATATACTCATATATGAGTGAGTAGCTAGCATACGCCCCATCTGATAGTAAGCTGTTACCGTAGCCTATGAACGAATATAACATAGAATATTTTTTTTATACTTCATCTAAATTTAAATTTTGAATGGTAGAGCAATATACGAAATAAATTATTAATTTGTTTAGTTTTTGCTAACAGCTGGTGTGCATAACCTTTTATCGCGCAGTTGGTATTTACAGTCCACCGAGCGTTACACTGTGTTAATTAAATTAAGATTACTGATACTTTCAGTTTTAAACAAATAAATGAAGAAATTGAACGGAATGAACAAATGGACAGTTCCGTTTTTATTAGGTATCTATATTATTTAAAATTTACTATTTACATTAATATTATTACGATTAATTGCTTTAAGTATAGGAAAAGCGTGATAGTCCCATTGTTAACAATATACCCTGATTGACTTTCACGCAGTTCCCCCTGGAAATCATCGTGATTAATTCCCAGCGACCACTGATCTCATTTCATACCCATAATTTTGTCCTCCACTGGGAGACGTCACTGGTTATATGAGCGGGTACATCATTGTATCTTCATCCATAGAAAAGTCTGAAGTATTTTTGTGTATGTAAAATAATAGCCCACTTATTCATAAAAATTAAAATCTTCTAAAAACCTATTTGAACTATTACAGAGTTCTGTCAGTTTTTACAAATTAGGAATTAAGCACAAGAGAAAGAGCCAAAAAATTTCAATAATAAAAGTAAAAATAACTACAATTGTTACAAACCAGTTGTTTAGATATAAAAATTTAACTACTTATCCGATGTTGATAAAGTTTCTATGCGACCATTGTGTAACTATAACTCTTCAGATAAAAAAAAAGTATTTCTCATGTCAGTTTAGTACTGACAGAGTAATGAGATAATAGACAAAAAAATATAAGCGAATTAGGACCTCCTTCTTTTTTAAGTCGATTGAAAATAAGTTTATGAGAGATTTGACATATTTATAAATAAGGGCTTAATCTTAGATTATATAAATAGAATGTCTCCATACAAATGCTCTAAGAAAAACGGATCAACTTTTTTATACAATTTTGCATAATAAATAATTATAAATGTTTCCTTTATAACCTCTATATTTATTTTATTTTATAATTTTTGCATCTTTTTAATGCGTAAAAACTCATTTTATTTATTAAAAAATTAAATATAGATACGTCAAGATACATTATGTGCATAAGTATATAGAAAACTGATAAAAAAATCGAGTCGGCTAATTAATAACAATAAGTTCACAAAAAGTTTTTTGAGATTCGATTCTCTATCTATATAATCTAAGGGCTTAATATATAATCATACATTTATCTTCGTACATCTATCCTTTCATATCATACATATATACGCCCCTATGCCGGAGATTTGATATCTCCTCAGATAGTATACGATTTGACTCACTCACTGTAATGTTTTGTCATCTTTCTTCACTTACTGTGTTATTATTACATATGTTTTCTGTTATTTATGTTTTATACTGAGTACATTAATAGTATAAAAATTATTATATTATATTAATTAAAAATATTAATATTCTAAATAGTTTCAGACTACTGGATTATAACTTTTTATGCGATAAACTATGGTAAGTAAGAAAAAGGGACTATTAGTAATGCGGACTACCAATTCCATTACTATCAATATACCTTGTTAGGTCGACCCCCACTTGCTCCCCCCCTGGAAACCATCGTACTAAATTCCAGATGTATTCGTCACGATAGACTCACTGACCTGGCTTTTCATTTTCACTTATTATCTCTCACTGGAGCCTCGCCCGCAGATAGCCTATGAGCAGGTGAGCGCCATTATCATCAATTAAAAAAAACTAATAAGTACAAATCTGCGTCATTTCGTACATAAATACTTTATATGAAATCTGTGCAACAGAACCATTAAATTTTTCATAGTAAAACACCTAGGTCTTTTCCCATCTATTTACGGTTTCGTCAATATAAGGACAGTGTCGACTCTAATTAAAATGTAGTGATTACGAGTACTGGCTGTGTAGGTATCCAACTATCAATATAGCTATTCTAATTTTAAATTTGGTTACTTACAAACAGTGAGTAAACATAATTTAAGTTCAATGACGTTGTCTGTGCTAAATTGATGCCAATTCTGATGTGCAAATTAAATTAATCTACCAGAACGGATTCTCGGGTCAGGTTATCTTCATGTAACCCTAAAGGAATACAATAAGATTGAGAGTTATGCATTGACGTAACTATTTGGTTTACACTTTATTTTTATTTGCTTCCTATTACAACATGTTTATTTAATATTCCACTTGGGTATAGATAGATTATAATATATATACATTTTTCTATTTCACATGAGTAATACAAAAATACTATAGGAATATGTGAAATAAAATTCCATTCTTATTTACCACGGGGAAACGTTAGGGACTAATGGAACACCCCCATTATATGGTACTTCTATATAAAGAATGCTCAACAAATATCTATAATTGTATTCAATAAATAACAAAAAATAGAGAACAATTCTAAGTTCCATGGTTGGTGTTTTAAAAGCTTTCGAACATTTTAATGTTTATTCCTATACTGATACCGAATACCTATCGAAATTAGGTTTTGGGCAACATTAAACATGAAATAAAATATAAACAGTTTTGTCATAGTTTTTATTTTAAAATGCTATGCTCTTAGATTATGTTCTATCTATGAGCATCGGGTGTCAAAACGGGTCAAAATTTAGTCAGCTAATTTGACGTTTGGCTGGCTAAATTTTGACACATATTTTTTTTTAAATGAAAAGAAAACACCTTTTTCAATTGTGTAGCTTTCTCCTCCGTTTCCGTGGGTCTCTTAAGAGGCGACTAAGAGAACTTAATAGTCGAGAAATGGGCAGCAGCGTCCCTCTTAAAACATCACCAAAAGCTAGAGATACTAAGTTGATATGCTATGTAGGTACATAATGTTTACAAATTGATGTACATGTAGTAATATGTTAGGTCTATACTCAAATATGAGTACATATCAGAGTATACCCATACGAGGTAATTATACAATATAGCCTTGCAATATAATCTCTCCCACATACTGAGTAATAAATATACATTACGATAACCCTCTTCACGCACACAT